CTTGTAAGGTCTGAACTTAAATCAGTTGGACAACAACTGATGAACATCGCAGCAGGAACACCGAGTCTTCAAGTCGCTCAACAGGAAGCTTTCTGTTTACATGATCAGCAGCTTCTGAGGGAGGCAGCTCTTTTTAACTTCCTAAAAAATGAAAGGCCTTGTGATTCCTCAATGGCTGATGTATCGACCCGAGAAAGGTTTTCTCTTCAAGGCCTCTGTGTTGAAGGTTACTTTCCTTGATGTCCTAAAATCCATAGCATTTCCTTTGCCTTTCTGCATTCACAATCGGGCTGTTGGGGTTACACACTGCTAAGTTCTGAGCCAACCCAAATGCAATGACGACTGGTAGATGTAAGGTTTTGTTCCCAAGAAGATTTGCTTTGCCTTCAACAATTCTTCAACAAAATCAAAGTTTTAGTCCTTTCAAATTAAGAAAGGAATGCTGCCTTGTCTTTTTCCTGTACAATCTTTTCCAATGCCGTGGCATTGACTATTCTTACAGAACAGTCTTTGCTCCTTCACCTTTGCTGACATGTGCATCATCTCTTTCTGCGAGTTGCTCATAAGATGTCAAGACGAGACCTGACTGAGGCGAATTAATGTGCACACGAACCCGGTTTGTGTTTATGTGTGTCCCAGATTCAGAATCAAAACACATCACAGCTTCTTTTCTTCACAATGACGGATGAAAGCTCTAATGCTTTTGGATGAGAGAGACAGGCCATACTGTTGCACTTAGACACAACCTTAAAAGCACAATTTTCTCTTTATAGGGTGTATCTGGAAACATTTCCGTGCATGAATACTTAACTTTACTGCAATAATTTTATTGAATAAAGAACTTTAGAGCCAAGACATGAAAAGTAAATTAACTTTTACTTCATGGCATTTTGGTAAAATTTTGATTAGGTTCAAGTCATTGACTGATGATCGAGTCAACCTAATGGTTTATAAAGCTCGTTAACAGAGTTGAAGAGATATGGCAGGAAAATATTTTAGTGCATATTCCTGAGGCGTTCCCATGGATCATTCTGAAAGTGAGCTCTGTCCCGGCTACACTGACATGTTATCAGTAATGTTTTGGGCATTTGATTTGTGTTGGACTCGTTCATTGATTTCTTTGGACTCATGCCTCACTTTTGGTTTCCTAAAAATGAGACAAGAATTTGATTTACAGGGTGTCACGAAGCTTCATTCCTCTAAATGGGGCCCTGTAGGCCTTTCATGCTGCTGGCCCATGTTTGCAATGCTCTGGATTTTTATTTAATCATTCATTTATCTGCCCCACAGCATCTATGATCATTAAATGCATTATATATGGCAAAAAACTAAAATATATAGTAATTTACTCAAGAACAGTCAAAAAAACAAAGCTTGAGAAGTAAACTGCTGGGTAGTTTTTGCTACAATTAGCTTATTGTATTGTAACTTCAAAATATATCAGCTCTACAGTTAAAAACGATTAATGTTCATAGCTTAAATAGCGTGTTAGCTCACTGCTCTCAGTCAAATTAACAAGGCTAACTTCGTCAAACATTTACTTTGTCTGCAAAAGAAAACAGAGGGTATCTGCAGGGTATTTAAAACCTTTTTAATGACAATGAATGAAATTTAAGACAGAAAATATACAACTATATAGCTGCAAATGGTTGGGATTGCCTGCTGGATTAGAATCCAGCATACAAACATTGTTAATTTTATTAGGTCTATTGGAAGGGGATTTGTGCAAAAGCACAAAAGCTAAAATCTGCAACAGGGCAAATACTTTTTTATTGTACTGTTAAATGGACTGGCTTGAACGGGATTAAACTGGGTGATCTGCAGGTGAAAACCAGTTCTGAGGTGGTTCCTAATTAAATAGTGACAAAAGCAGAGTGTCACATGTTGAGCAACAGACTTTATTTGCAATTGTAATATAAATTCTGAAGTGAGCTAACATTGTTGCAGTGAAAAGTAACTGAAGCTTACATAATTGTTTTATTTAATTTTTGCTGCTGGATTCAACTACATTACTAACAAACACTAATTTCCAAAGAAACTAACAGTACTGTCAATAAAATCTTATGAATCACCAACAGCAGGTTGTTTTTATCAATTATTTGTTCCTATATTATAATCATGGTTTAAAGTCACATTGCACGGGATTAAAATTTTAATTCCTTCATCAGTAATTTCCATATTTGTAGCCCATTTATTATATATCTTTGTCATTTTTCTTCTGGCTGCCTGTCTAAACCCCACGATGAATCCAGCTGTTACATCACTCATTTTTACACTTATTTGAAGTGACACATTGCCACAAAATCAAATTAAACCCAGGTACTTTCAGCTCGAGTTCAGAAAGTAATTGGAAGGAAAGAAGCTGAATCAATATGCGAAACAGAATAGTGATTATTTTATATTGTCCTGCAATACAATTTTCTACTGTAGGGTCACAGATAAGTTATTGTCTTATTAATTGAATGTGCTCTCACTTTGAAAATCTACATTATTAAAGCCCAAAAATGGATTTTACAGTTGAATTTTACAGAGTTTACGGACACCAAATAAAAAGACACATACTCAATTTTTTCTTAAATCAGAGTAAACACTTCAGATTTTAAAAACATAAATAATAAATATTATCTCAATGCTGCAGAATTGAGGAAATAGAAATAATCGCTAATCAATTGAGGTACACGGAGAAAACAAAAAACTGAACAGGGGCAGGATGTTCTCACCAAAACAGCTCAGAAACATCAGACATATCAGTCTTGACCTGTGCAAAGCCCCTTCAGGCAGTCGAGATCAATACTGCAAAGCTCAACACTTATTGCTCAAGTGGAGGAGGAAGGACGAGACTTTTGGCAATAGTTTAATAAGCTGTTATCAGTGCTTGGAGAAAAAAACATCAACACATGTTAGCCAAGCTGGAGCACATACACACACACATATATAGATATACCTCCCACACATTAGAGCAGGATAAAAGCAGAAACCATCACAGCAACTTCCCGACAAAAACAAACCAAGCTGCATACCTCCCCCACAGAACAGGCCGCCTCCCCCTCCACCCCTGCCTCCATTTCTGTTTCCGAAGCGTTAAAACATGAACAGAGTTAAACCCTGAGACTCTCTTGAATTGCTCCCCATAAATAACGCATCAGAGGAGTCCTCGAACATCTCTTATTTTTCTCGTGGGTCAGCCAAATAGCCAGATGGAAAATGTAATAGTTGCTCCACCGACTACAAAAACAAAATCTCAGACACATTTTCTACTTTTAAACAAGTCATTTCAAATCAGTCGGTGTGAAAACAAGACGGTGGCACTCGCATACAATCTGTGAACCATTCTCATCTAAAACACAGGATGTGCAAGTAACCATTGATTCAAAGCTACAGCACCATACTGTTCTTTAAACCACCAGACAATTTAAGTTAGAAGGATTGCTGCTTCTCTGTGAACCGCTTCAAATTACAGCTGACTGAGCCACTTGTCACCAGACATCCTGGACAATTTGAAGGTTCAGGAAATACAACAGCAACCATCATCAGAAAGAAAGTGATAAACATTATACAATAAACCAAAAATAAATCCTGAATAAATGCAAGACAAATGCATCTTCAGTTCTAATCAACCAATCAATAACCCAATTAGCTTAAGACGACTTCTAAGTAGTAAATAGAGTCCAGTTGTATTGGAAGTTGCAGCACACTTGAAAGAAAACCAATTCTACCCTAAACACATCGTTACTTGCCATCTTTATGAAGTTTTATTTCCACCACAGAAAAGAAATTATCTCAAGCCCATAGATAGTCAGACGCTACAGGCAAAATTTATCCAAACTCATTAATTGGACAGATTTATGAGATGCTACGAAGAAGGTTTACTACTCCTCATTAAAAAGCTTTAAGTGAAGAGATTTAGCTGTCTGGTCTCCACACAACCAAGTAAGACCCTGGAAAGATGATAGAACAGCAAGTTTGCATGCAAACAATTGTTGCTTCAATCCAAATCATTTCACTTCTGCTTTAAGACAACATGGTAGATTTCTTGCTGGGAATACCTTATTTTAGCATTCTAGGTTCAAATGCCAGTCATAGAAATGTCTACTGCTTCAAATCTACTGAGTTTCTTAAAGCATTATCGTCATAAAACCTGAATAATTTACTAGATCTGGTAACTCCAACAGAGCTGCAGAGGTTCTCCCCTTAGGTGGAAGAGTCAGTGAACCTTATACACTTTGTAGAAAAAGAAAGTTATCGTTGAAGGAAAAAGAGGTAACACTTTATTTGGAGGTTTTGCATAAGACAGACATTACACTGTCATAATCATTACATAACATCTGCCATGAAGGAGTCTTCATGAATGCTTGAAGACTGTTATAAAGTGCCTTTCAGTAAATAATGCAAATTTTTTTCCCGCAAAACTGCATTGCAAGTGCCAAATTAGCATTATTTGCTACATAATTACTTTTTTATGCATTAAAAGTCAACTAAAAGAGTTTGCATTAAAAGTGTAATTATTTACCAAATGACACTCAATGACAACAGTTGTAAACATTCATAACACGTGTCATGTCAAGTTTATGGCAGTGTAATGTCAGTCTGATGCACACCCATTCAAATAAAATGTTATCAAAAACTGTCAGTTTGCTACAAACTATTGAGATTTTATTTATCTGTAAAAACTTCTGCCAGATTTGCTTCACTCTGGAATTGTGGTAGGGACCGGACAAAATCATTGAGAGGGCTGCAAATGGCCCTCAGGCCAGATCTTGAACAACAGTGGTTGTGTTCAATGCACAATAGTGACTCAGCCAAAGTCCAGACTGAAATCCAATTAAGAATCTAGTGAAAAGATAATGGATTGACTCTGCAGGATGAATACAAATGCACAGAAATTAAAGATAAATATTATCTTTCTGACTTATGTTTACGAGTTTTGTTTCCAAAAATATATCCAAGTTGTACAAAATGTAGAAAATAAAAATAAAAACTGGTAATGTTGATGTGCAGCTTGGGTCTGAGCAGAGTTGAATGAAGGGAGCGAGAGAGAGAAAAGAGAGAGAGAAGATAAGTGTGTGTGAGAGGAGAGAGCTCACCAGTTGCCCTTAGCAGCGCAGCCTCATTCCTCCACAGTCGGGCTTCAGTCAGATTGTTAATCGCGTCTCCGCTTCACTCCAATTAACATCCGCAGGTTCTTAAATTCAGTTTAGCCCATTTTTTCCTGAAGCGCGCAACTCCACTTTGCGTTGTCACCAAGTTTTCCAGCGCACATTGAATTCCTCCGGGGTGGAATGAAGACAGGAAGCGGCGGGTTGAGTCCAGCGCGGCGGTCTTAAAGCGTCCTCAGGTTTTAAAAGCACGTCGGTCATTCGACTCCAGGACGCAGAGGATGGCAGCGCAGGCGGCGAACCGGAGCGCGCAGGAACTGCTGTCCGTGTGCGGGGAGCACGGGAACGTGAGCGTGGGGAACATCAGCGTGGAACTTATGGAACAGAACACGACCTGCTCCAACAGCTCGGTACTGAACCGACCGGCTCCCAGAGCCCGAGGTAAAACCCGCACCTTTACGCTGCTGATCTCTAATATATGCGCATACCCAAATAGTAATAATAATAATAAGAAGAATGTGGATATATGTAAGAACTCATAAATAAAATTGTCTATTTATTTATGATTCCTGAACAAGCTAATTGAGTTTAATTTATCTACATATATCAGTGTTAAGTTGTCACAATAAAATCATTTCCATTTGCGTTATTTATCCGTTTTCCTCTTTTTTTCTATCAAAACACCGACCTTCAGTCTGGTGCTCTGGTCTCAACAAGCCCTTCTTTACAAACAAATAAATACAAATTTTGTTTTCAACGACTTCATCATTAATTTTATTGCTCTTTAAGAAGGTGTTCCTTCATTTTTATCGCATTATATGAATTAAAATTTTTCTCAAGACAATATTATCGCATTGACTTGTGGGACTATTTATCATCCAGCAGTATTTATTATTATTGTGCAAGGCCTTATTTCTCTTTTTTCTGTTAGTGGTGTAATGAGCACTTTTATTCTTCCTTTCTTCAGTAACAAAGAGTATTTTGCAAAAAAATTAAAGGTTTCTTTTAACATCTGAAATTTATGAATGATTAACTCATTTAAAAACTCACCAGTTGAGCTAATGGACTATATTAAACTGGTTAGACTAAAAGCACAAACTAAAAAAACCTTTATCTGAGTCTCTTGTGCACTGATGTGTGCTTAAGCTGAAAATTATTTGCAATCCTGGGTTTTGTGTTAATCAACCTCACCAGCCCTGCATACAATAAATCACCAAGTCAGACAGATTTACTGCTGCATCAACAATGCTAGGATGAACAACAACAGTGTGAAAAAAGCCGTTTTAATTCACAGTGTTTATTTGCATGCCTCTAATTCGGAAGCGCAACAGAGATTAAACCCAGCAGTGGAGGAGATAAGGCCCCCCGAGTCCTCTATCACGGCACCAGTTGCACATCCAGACTGGCTTGGTAATGAGGTGGGAACAAGAGCGAGAGATGGTTTTAATATTTCCCCCCCACCACCTCAGCAGCAAGATTGAAAAAAGATTTGAGATCGTTCCCCAATAAATAATTCAGCCATTACTTCTTCTGTGCCAATTTACTCTTTCAGACCTGTGAATCTCTTCAGCAGGATGTAAGCGCAGCTTCTTCTGGGAGGAATCAAACATGGTGGAGCATTTCAGCTTGGATTGACAGAAATGCTTCCATTTTGTTCCGCCACTCCAAAACATTACATGATATTGAGCCATTTAGATGCATTATTTACTTTCACCTACCTCGTTCTTCAGGTCAGAGGGGGACAGTGGAGTCTGATTATGCATTTTTGTTGCTCTCAGGGGTCTGCAGTTATGACAGGAAATTAAAGCCGCACCCCCTGCCATGTGTGTACAAGATCTTATTTTCTAACACAAGTGGCCTTCAAATACAGCTAAAGTATATTTATTTGATGTTTTATGACTTCTTCCAAAAGAAAAACAGTATTAAATTGCAACTGAATATCATAGTCTTGAACAAGATCTCTTGATACTATAGACAGGTGGAGGTAGAAATTCCTTGCAGGGAAAGGAGGTGATACCAAAAACAAGACCAGAGAATACCAAGACCAACCATTTGAAGGGAGGCGATGCCAAAACCAAGACCAGAGAATACCAAGACCAACCATTTGAAGGGAGGCGATGCCAAAACCAAGACCAGAGAATACCAAGACCAACCATTTGAAGGGAGGCGATACCAAGAACAAGACCAGAGAATACCGAGACCAACCATTTGAAGGGAGGTGATACCAAGAACAAGACCAGAGAATACCGAGACCAACCATTTGAAGGGAGTAAACACCAAGTACAAGACAAGACCAACAACTCAAAGGGAGTTGACACCAAAACAAAGACCAGAGAATACCAATATGAGGTCAATTCTTTGAAAGGAGGTAAGATGAAGACCAGAGCACACTAAAGAAAAACAAAAAACCAAAGTCTACTTTGGGTGTATTCTCACCTGACATATTTGGTTCAGTTTAAATGGACCAGAGTTTGTTTGCACTATCGGTCTGGACCTTTTATGTAGCTGTGAATGTATTTAAGTGACTAAATAACTGGAACAAGAGCCACTTTTTTGCAGTAAACAAAATATAGTTGTTGCTGCAAACATTCCTAGAAGGTCTGTCATATTGCTAATTAGCAGTATGACATGCTAGCAAGAAGTCAGCTAAACATCGACTGACTTAGCATTACCTACAGGTAGTGAGCGGAGGACAAAACTCAGGGTTTTTCTTTCTGTGTTGTACAGACAGAAAAAAAAATCTGTTTTGAACTGGAATATTTTTTCCTTTTTCTTCTCTTCTATCTCACCAGGTGGTAACGTTGACATTTTAAAGTAAAAAACTTTATCGGCTACATTTGAACACAGTTTGAAACTAGTTCGATTTCTAATTCCGGGACTGGACAAAACCAATACTTTGAATATTTGGTCTCAAAATAAGTGTAATATATGTAGATAATTGGCATGGTGTTTTACATTATATGCTTCTTTGGACTTTTATGCAACAGGAAACACTAATTAGAGAATCATTGTGAAGCTGAAAGATAATTATACATGGTTTTTAGTTTTTGAAAATACAATTCTTAAAAAAAGATGAGTTACTCCCCTGTGGAACCAAGTCTTTTGGGTTTTGTTTCTACCCATTTTGCTCGTAGAGATGAAGATTGCAAGCTCACTCAGATTAAATAGAGAACATCAAGCCACATGCTTTCCTTCTAGCTGTATTCATTGGCCAATTCTAAGCTTTAACCAGAATATTGATACCATATCAGCAACAGCAACTGTGTGCTCTGACATTTGTGTTTGCATTTCGTTTTATTTGATCTGATCTTAACGGATGTGTTACTTATTCAGATTGCTATCTGAGGCTTTGAGGCTCCTACAGCTTAGAAAGAAGCTGTAAAGCAAAGCCTACATGCATCCCATTGCATTAATGCCTGCAGACTCTAGAGAGCAGGTGGGGTCAGACGGGGTCCTGCCTATGTGGAGCAACATCTGTATCCACACCTTGGCTCTGCTCAGACTCTGCTTCAAACAATTTCAAATGAGAAATGTACTTGTTACAGTCCAGGATTTGAACTGGAGAAACACTGTGGTGCAATAAAAGATCAACTTTAGAAAATAACAGCCAAGAATGCTGCATATCCTAATATTCATAAATCACATATTTCTGGCAAATCTTTTTTACTGGAAAAGTAAAATATATTAACAGTCAAAATGCAAATGGAAGCCTTAGTGAAGTATTTACTGCTTGTACAATAAATTATTATATTTAACAGGCCAGTCTGTTCCTAATTGATACATAATTGACTGACAGCTTTTTGCAGCCATCTTGCTCCCTGCCATTGTTTATCCAAAGACCGCAGCATGGATATAATTAACCCAATTTGTCACCCTGAGGACAGACTGCAGCAGAAACTCCGCCTAATGTTTTTGTTTAAACAATCATGAGCAAAAATGCCATGAAGTTTCATTTTCGTGAAGATTTTTAACTTATTTTTCAATCCATTTGCATGATTGTGAGTCAAAACATTCCCTGAAACATGTAGGAAAAAACAGATAAACGACTGGCACTGAAAGTTAATTTAAATACAGCCTTCATGGGTGACTAAATATATACTACAAATAAGGAGTTTCCTGCTGCAAAATCTGAATGTAGTGTGGAATCAACATTAATCACTCATGGTGAGATGGCTTATTAGCTGGATTGGAGTGCTGACTGTTAGATATAGCAACTTCCTCATTACAGTGATAAAATACAAACGGACTTATGCGCACTGAGCAGCATGATAATTGCTGTCAAAGGGTTCATTTGCTTGTAATGCAGTGTCGGCATGTGGGAGTGCAGCGGTTCAATCAGAAATCATATCTGTCTCTAAACATAATTCAGCTACCAAACATGGTGGGGGACAAAAGGCGAATCATTTTTATACGCAGCGACTTTTCCATAAAGGAAATGGAAGATAAGGGGGAAGCAGCAGATCCCCCGTCTCCTGATCGAATCTCTTGTGAGAACAATAAATGTTGTAAGCTCTTACAAAAAAAAAATAAAAAATGTTCTTTTGTTTGTCTTTTGAACCTGAGAAAACATCCAGGGATCAGAAAGATCAAAAGTGCACTGAGATTTCTGAAAGTCACTGAGGTTAGGAGAGATTGCTGTACCTTAAAAAATGATTGATGAACTTTGAAGTTTTTTACTTTAAGTCAACGACTACAAACCTCTGAGTGTTTTATTGTTGAGATATTATGGAGTAGGCCAAGGAAAACGAGTGAGTTTGAGTTTTATTGTAGAAACCAAAAGCGGTCTCCAGATTGTGCAGAGCTAGAAGGGACATACTATAAAAGTACACACTTTAAATTAACCCTTCATTGTTTTTCTTATGTTTTTACACCAAAAACTGGATGATAAAAGTCCTCAGTCTGGTGATTTGGTCTCAACTAGCCCGTTTTTGAGTTTTGTTTACAAAGACTTCATAATTAATTGTATTTCTATCTTTAGTGATTATTTCAAATGTCTTCCAGTTCTGCTGTTTAATGTTTTTTTTTATTATGCCATTACCACCATATTTCTTGAAAACAATCTCAAAATTTGCCATTTCAACCTCTCCACAAAAAGTAATGCAAATATTTAGCAGAAACAGCAAAGTGGTTTTGTCTCCATTTGGTAGAAAGAAGTTCAACCACTGATCCGGTTTGAGCACTGCAAGGTGATTCAGTTCCTCGTTGCTAAAGCAACAAGTGGTAAATTGGAAAAAAAAGTCATTATTTTGAGGCAAATGATTTATTTTTAGACATGAATTAGCAGAGATTCAGTTACATTCAGAGCTCACTCCTTTGAGCTGTGAGAATGATAATACACCTCAGGCCAAACCAACGGGCTCCATCCTCTTTTGACTTGCCGCCAGCTAATGAAAATCAATAACAATTTTGGACCGGCGTGTGCTGTGTGTCTTACAAGCTGCACCAATTAGAAGACATTTGGGGGTTTTTTGCCGAAAGCTGCTGGCTAGCAGCGCGGCGGCGGCTGCCTGTGCTGTGTAGGTGTTTAATCAGAGGTCAGGGAGCAGGATGCGAAACGTGGAGGTGAGAAGGGATTGCAGCATGTGGCTATGCATTCTGATGCAAGCCGCGGCATATTTGGGATTGCATCAACTAGAATGTAGTGAGGTTTATGATGCAACAAAACTACATTTAAAGAAACTACACTAAGGAGGTAAGGTTTCTTGAAAATCATCAGAACCAAAAGGTGAATGTTGATGGTGATTCAAATAATAAAGCTCCTCTAATTTCTCAAAGTATCATGTTGAGCGATGCCTATGAGCGAAGAAAGCGATAAGAGTCATTCACAGCTTCTTTATGTGCATCCTTGCTGTTCAGCATTGATCCTATAGGTGCACTTCCTGCTGCATTAAATATTTACAAAGGAAAATAATTATTATGCTGCTGCAGAAGCCTCCCTGTGACTCATGTTCTGCTTATTTTAGAAGCTTTCTAAATTTGTCCTTCTGGACACTTTTATTTTTGCTTTTTTTTGTCACAAGCGATCCGAAGGAACCTAGCCAATGTGACAAAATAATTCACTCATTTGTTTAGTAATGAATGACAACAGGAAGTAGGCTAAAAGGTCTAAATTAAAGACTAAATGAGAAACAAAGTCATCAATATCAAGTTGGGAAACTGTTTCAAAGCCATGAGATTCCAGTGAATCATAGCGACAGGTTTTATTCCAAATCTCTAAATTCCCCACAAACTAAACTAAATGCAAATGTCTCATCCAAAATAAAAATAAAAAAACATGACGGGTTCATGTATATCGACTGTCTTATCTGATGCCGAAAGTTCAACATGTGAAAAGCTGGAAAGCTTTTCTTCTTCTTTCCCAGAAGAAAATCTGGGGAAAATTTCAAAATACAATTTTCCACAAAAGCTACTCAAGTAAATATGATTGAGTGAATGTAACTGGTTATGACCCAACTCTGGATGTTTCTAGTAGAAAAGCACCTGAAGCTCATTTGAAAATAAGGAAAGCATCAGAATTGGACGCTCAGAAGCATTTTGAAGTCATCTATCAGGTATTTTCTCAATGAAACACCACCACAGCAAGAATGTAATTAAAAAGACAGGGCTGCAGCTGGTCCTTTATTGCTCATTATTTATGAACCCTGAAGTGATTTAAACGTGAATCACACCAACATCCAACCTAACTATAGAGGTTGTAAAAGCACTCTCCTTTTTCCAGATGACAGAGCTCTCGAGCAGTGATATGCTTTTTTTTGTTTGACTACACTGATAATAATGTAATGCAATGTAATCACACTTTAATCATGTGTGGAAAAGCAAAATTATGGATGAGATTGCAGGAAAATTGGAAAAAAACGGTGGTTGAATAAATGGTCGCAATGGTTTCTGTCATAGATCAAACCAAAAATGCTCCATTTTTGTAGCAGGTAAGCATTTCAGAGGTGATGTCTGGCTTTTATCCACAGCGAATGTACAGTATAATAGTGGATTTAAACACACCCGTCATGCATGGTTGAGTCAAAGGAACCAGGGAAAATCACCCTGCAGCCTTCAGGCGCAACCATCCACCATGCTGTACCGCTGGCACTCAGTCAATACATAAATCATTTTTCACATCACACCTAATCATAAAGCAGGCTGTCTAGCCAGTGGCAGCTTTCTACATGATATTTGGGCTGGGATTTCTTCAATGGCAGCGCTGAATGTGTGTTTCTCCTCTCTGATGTGAACTCTACTCACTTATGTGTTGGAAATCTGTCTTTCTATGACTGAAACTAAACTAACTCGACCCTGACAGGCGTGATTCACGTTTCCAGCAGTGTCATGGGTTCAGGCCTCCTTTCGTTTATCTTTGGGTATTTCCATGGCAATTAAAAACAATTGCTTGGATATTAACTGTGATCTCAAAACATTATGAAAATCTTATTGCAATTCCTGCTCCATTTCCCATTTTACCAGAACCTGAAAAACACTTAAGTTTTTCTTTTCTTTAATTTTACAGTAGCTACAAAATAAACTTAGCTTCTAGCAGAAATTCAATTTATATGTTTGGCTCTTTTCCTTTAAACTGACAGCAATAATATTATTATAGCTACATTTTGCAGGGACTAACAGATGGCTCATCTTTTAGATAGTTTTTAGTTGTGAAATTAAAAGAATCAAAAAGACCTCAAGTAGGGGTCTTTATCGGCGATAACAGAAAACGGTTATTGCCAATAAAAGATTATTGGTCCAATCATTTTAAAGACTGGGCCAATAACCAATCTTTAAAAAGCCTGACCTGCCAATTCTGATTATTTTTTGTCTGAAAATAGCAAGAAAGTCATAGTATTGGTAGGGCGACTACTATCCTCAAAATTAAGAAAACCATAAACTGGTTGGCTGCTAAACGGTGCACGTCTGATCCAAAACTTTCTATGTAAACGTTTTTCTTTTTTTTCATAAAACTTGTCCAAATATAATAGAAAACCAAGCCTGAAAACTGTTAAGCTAATCACCATCACTCCTGTAGATGGATTATGCTTTGTTACATGAACTGAATCTGAATAGTGGACTTAAATAAGTTTTATGTTTACAAACTGGGAAATTAATAAACTAGGAGGAACTGTTCGCACTGAAACCTTTTTGATTTTGTGGAAGCAAAGGTTTCGCTAGCCATTTAGCTAGATTTTAATTGACAAATCAGAAAGACATAAGCAAGCCTCACTTTGAATCCTTCCTGTTAGTTCACTTACATTTCGCCCTTTGGCAAGAAGATCTAAATCTAAATGCCAGGTGTTGACTTTTGCCTCTTTGGTTTAGCCGATTTAAAATCACTGGAATCCCAATACCGGGTCTTGTATGGAGAACAACAAGAGTGAGTGAAAATAGAAATGTCTCCTGCTGGGTGATACTGAAACCATTTCTCTCTGCGCGTTTGCTGAGGCGCAGAGAGAAATGTTGAATCCCTGTCCTGCTTTGGTTAATCATCCGGGCTGCATGCTGTCTGCAGGCCCAGCTGAAGACCTTTAGACGTGTCTTCAAGTCGTGGACCCGGTCAGCGAAGCACATGGCTGACCTCGCCCTGGTCCTGTCAAATAATCTCATCCTCAAACAGGCTCACTGTCACAGGCTGGTGTCAGTGAAGGGAGCATCCCAAAAACCCTCTGGCTGGGCCACCCTGATGCTTGGGAGTTAGGAAATCATTTAAAAGTCTATTTAGGTCCAGATTTTACTTCAGGAAATTGATTATGAATTTAAAGTTCTAGGAATTTTGTGAAGTTAAGCAAATTATTTTTATGTACTTTATATCTAACATTATGTCAAAAGTTTTATGTCTTTGTACCGTGTGCTCTGCTGAATACCAATCTTTGCATTAAATTTATTCCAGTTGCTTTTCATCATAACATTAAATCAGTCATTCTTCCCGTCTAAAACGCCTTTGGATTCTCCTCTGGCTCTGCTCCAGTGATAAATGTAGACAATCCTAATAATTCACGTCTCGTTTTCCCCCAGTGCACGATGCGACTCTCCGCTTTGCCACGATGATGATATTTATCTTTATTTTTTTTTGGAGATCATTGCAATTATTGCTCGGCTCACAGGGAAACCTGGGAAATATTGGCGCTAGCACAATTTTTAGTGCTGTTTATGTCAAATTATTGGGTCCTGTAAAGACGTTAGTGTTGTTTATGCAACAGCTCTGTGTTATTTGCCTGGTTTGTAGTGACTGTGATTCTCATGTAGAGATATTATTTGTATCATTACATTTTATTACGGTTCATTTCTCACATAAACTGCTACGTGAACAGTTTTCTTATCAAACTAATTTTATTAATCTCCCTTCTCTACTTTATGTTTTTCCATTTGTTTTTATCTCCTGTCTTGACTCCAACAAGAACCATTGCACACTGATAAGTCCAATTAAACCATGTAAATAACACCGTTCCTTCATGAAGCTGATTGTTTTTGTCTCCGCCAGAGATGGACTCCTTCCGCATCCTGCTCTACACGCTCATCTTCCTGCTCAGTGTCTTCGGCAACCTACTGATTATTGTTGTCTTGATGCTGAACAAACGCATGCGGACCGTCACCAACTCCTTCCTGCTGTCACTGGCGGTCAGCGACCTGATGATGGCCATCTTCTGCATGCCCTTCACGCTCATCCCAAACATCCTGGAGGACTTCATCTTCGGGGCCACAATGTGCAAGACAGTCACATACCTAATGGGTGAGCCTTGGTTCTGCCTTAATTACCCTTAGGAGTCCACGAACGCATAGCGTAGCAGAAAACTTTCAACTTATGTTTAAAGCTCATATTATAAACTACACACCAGTTTTTGAATTGTGTTAAGTGACACTGGAGTCATGCTAAAATAATTAAACCATATATTTCTGAATGTCAAAGAAATGCTAAGAACCGGCTATCCTGGGCTTACAAATGTAAAAAAATTAAACGCAACATTAGATAACTGTTATTGGAAATCTCACATCTTCAATGAATAATTAAGGGCTGAGACAAATGATTTTGTTGCTGAGAAACAAAAAAAAGTTGCACAAGTAACGATGATAAGGAGGAATGGCGCAGCGGCGTGCAAAATTAACCAACGATGTTTTGTCAAAAGTTGTATACAAATGAATGAGAAATTGCCTTCATTTTCATGCTAATAATTTTATAAAAATTGCATTCTTTGCAATATTTTTAAATCAGATTAGGAAGTTTACAGTATTCATTGTCATTCTGTGGGTTTTACAGTAAATAAATTGAAATTTTTCAAACTTGGATTTTATGTTTTCATGTGACTCCAGCTTTAATAAGCAATCACAATATATGCAAAAGAAAAATGCACATTAAATTTACAAGGCTTGGGTTGTGATGAAAAAAAATGATACAACATAAGGCAATATTAATGGTTTCCATTAAGAAATATAGAGGTAAAATTAAAATGTGTCAGAAATGACCATTAAGGTTAAGTTCAGACAATCAGATAAGGAACGTCTGGGGAAATCAGGTCTTGATTCGGATTCTGAAATGTTTGGATTTAGACTGGACCATTTCAATGTTTAGATTCTAAACATTAAGATGATTTAGGAAGTTCGTCTTCAACAGTTTTACTGTTGCCCAAAAAATGTGGTTTTGCTCTGATCAACATAACTTCGTTAGTGTGCTGCTTCGTTTGGTTGACAGTGGCGTGCACATACATTGTGGGGGACTCAAGTATAAAAGAAGGGCAACTTGTGAGGCATTTGGAAAAGTAATGTAAGATTAATTTCAGTGCATAATTATTTCAGAGGGGCTCTTTTTTGTTCAGAGGGAAAAGGACAGAGAATAAAATCCATCAATATTTGCGGTTAGGGTACGTAAAGCACTAATATATAGTTTTACCAATTGTTTTTACAATATTGTGCGTCAACCAGGAAATCAGCTTGATGTGGATCTAATTCAATAACTGAATTCAGAAATCTGACCTTTCTTAAGATGGCAGCTCATTCTGCCATCGGTTCCAGCTTCAGAATCCTGTCTGAAATGGCTCTGCATCCAAAAGGAGCCCATCTTCCATCAAGCCTTTCTCTGGGTCTCATTTCCCCTCCTTTTTAAAGCCTCAGTCTCTGTAAAAATGCTCAGTCACACGTCTTCAGGAGTGTGACTTCGCGATGAGCTGGCTCCCATCAGGCCAGAGTTAAGGTGCCACGTGAGGCCTGACTCAGACTGAGGCACAAGAGGCTGAGATCCGCTGCGAAACTTCGTCTCCTCACTTTGAGCCTTCAATGGTTGAGGGAAGTATTGAATGGCAAGGTTCACAATCCTATTATTGTCTCAGAAATGTGATGCACCATCTGTGAGGACACGCTAGCCGAATCTCTTTTTCAATTACAGGGCTCTCTGAACTGTGATAAGATGGAGGGTGGTAGCAGGACCCAGCTTTCTCAGGCTCTAAATACAATTTTTGGCTTTTTGTATCATTTTATTCTCCGTCTTTCAGCCAGGACTGCAGGCTATATTAAGTAATAAAAGTTACTTAACCACAGCCGTGCTGTGAGTTATGACTAGGATTTCCTTTGACTGGTAGTGCTACTTTGGATAAAAATACCCCAAAACAAACTAAAATTAATAAATTTTTACTACAGTTAAATTCACACTTTAGTACATTTATCAATCGATTTTAAAAACATGCGATTCAACATGCAAAAAATGATCAAATGTCACTAAATGATATGCATCTACCATTAAGATCTGCAATGTGAATTAAGAAATAAATATTGATTTACTTAAATGTTTTGAGGTTGAAAAATCTAAAAGTAGCCATCAAATGCCACTCAGACTAGGTGATTACAGCAGAATAAGTTACCAGATGTCTGACCATATCTTCTCCAATTTAACATTTATTTCTTCTGAACTTATAAAAGTAAAAACCAGAAGGAAAGTGTCCAACATCCGCCTTTGAAAAGCTCCATTAGACGACCAACGAAAGGACGTTTTGTTCATGAACTCTTGCCAGTGCTTCACGCCTGACGCTCCCACTTCCCATTTCAAAATGACTCGAATTTCTATAAAACTTTCCCCAAGTTTCTCTTATTGTTCCAGGTTTTTCTTCCTGGATCTGTTTGTCATCTCATTCCGCTGAAGATCAATGCGTTGCTCAGGCGCAGAACCATCAACTAGAATCACTGAAATGAAATATGACCTTCCCAACTTTAGCAACTGCTTATCCGTCAAACAAGCCATTAAACGTCCTGCGTGGGAAAGGCCTTCTTTCAGTCGAAGCTGATCAATACCAAGGATCAATATGAGGATCGTCTTGGATCGACTTTGTGCCGAAGCAGCTCAACAAACTCATCAACTCTTTGAGAAATTATCTGTTAAAACACACATTACACACCAACATCCTTCAGCCTTCCCCCTACCATTGGAGCTGGAATCCATTCATTGGGTGCGCCTCGATAATTCACATGAGCGATTGGTCCGTAGCGTTTCGCTGGCAGTAATTAGATTGATGCTGCAATATTGTGTGTCCCTCTAGGTGTATCCTTTTCAATCACGTTTATGTATCCGTGTTTGTGTTTTTGTTGCTTCTTGCATCATGCAGTTACTAATCAATTTACCAGCTCGGTTTTGTAGCTCCCGCCTCCGGGGTGCAGCTCAGATAAAGCTGCGGAGTTTAGGTTAAACATGGCTTCTGGCAACGCCATTTACTGATCCGGCTGCTACCTCCAGAAACCTAAATCCACTTTTTTTATGCCTTTAGGCGTATTTTAAAGCAACATTCAGCAGAGCATTACATGACAGATAGCAGGTAATTGGGCTAAAGTAAAGCTTTCCTCCCAGGTGGAGATCTGCTGAGGGAACCAAGACTCAGAAACTTCAGGTTCCTTCAAAAGCTTCTTATCAGAAGACTCACAAGAAAGAGATTAAACCGTCCACTTTTTCAAATAGAAAGAGGAAATCGGGCTGGTTAGTGGACTGGTGATTAACTAAAAGGCAGTGTGGCCAGAATCTCCTCAGAGATGAGTCTCAACGTCGCTCTTTGATCAGCACTCCTGTCAGAAAACTCCACCAGGATGGCTTTAGAGAGCCAATAACAAAGACTCAGGAGACATGCAAGATGGAAGAGTGTCCGCTCTGCTTAATGTTACTGGAGAAAATGTAGCAGCAGCAATATGGAGGAGATGACTGGGATTAGACTTAGGAAGCAGTGCCTTGCTATATGCATTTTAAACATTTTCCACATTGTGTTGTTTTTTGTTATATACATCAAGTCAAAGTAGAGCATGACATAAAAATTACACAAATTTACAAATAAAACAATAAAACCAGTCAATACATTCAGTTGTTATAAAAATGCTGTATATATATCAAATATTAAAAGAAATGTAGCTTTAACATTTTGAAATCGGGTCTGTCTCTTTAAGAACTCCATATTCAGGAAGTAATCACTACATCTCTCCTCTATTCACCATTTAATGATTTTAATGCATGAAAGAATCAAGGGAACTTAACTTTTGCTCAGGTTGGCTTAAAACCCCCCCAAAAAACAGCGTATTTTTTGGTTTATTCTTTCTATTACAAAGCTTGTGTCAAAATGTGAAAAAGGCAACGTACACCCAAAACTGCAACAACAATTTTCAGCTAATAACTACACCTAGCTTCAGCTTAATATTTCCTCTCTAGGAGTCGAACAAATCTGATTTGAGATCAGTGCCGTCCCCCAGTGGCTCCTGATGTAACAGGCGTCTGAGTGCTACGGGGTTGAGACGGTGAAAGGGTTGATGAATGTGGGCTCAGGATGGCAACGGCATCATCAATTTAAATCACTGGAGTATCCGGCACCCCACTTGAGTCTGACAATGGAAATGAGCTCACTCCTCACTCTGCGGCCTTTGCCTTCATTATGTTTCCTGACTTCTCATGCACTTCATGTGCCAGTGGGTGATAAAGATTAAACTGCCTCATTTCATCTCCAAGAAAAAACCTTTGACAGATGACGTTTAAAAATATGATCTGACATGCAGGTGAAATGATACAAGTTTTGAGTTTTTATTAAAAACTGGATAATAAAATTTCTTCAGTTTCAGCTAGCTGTTTTTAAAGGACGATTTTCTTTACAAAGACTTTATAATTACTTGTTGTTTTGGGTATTTAAACTGTTAAATGATCCTTATAATTTAAAGTTTATTGATCTTTGAGAATGTATTTGTGCATTATTCTGCCATTACAATTATAATCTCAAAACGACAAAACAATCGTTTATCGCAATAACTTCTGGAAGAATTTATTGTCCAGAATTGTGGATTTTTCCAGTTTCTCCTTGTCATGATTACGTAGCTCTTAACCTGTTCATAAAAATATCATTTCAGACTTTAAATCATCTTTTATTGGTTATGTTTACATTTTCTGATTAACTGTTGTAACTGCTTTCCGTTGTGCTTTATAAAAAAATAAACATTTCAATTATATTCTAATTACTGAGGCTCACCTGTGGACCAGTTCTTCATTATTTCCTCAAGAAAAGCACCAAGTTTCTGCAGTTTCTCCCTTGTATTTGACCCAGAGACGCAGCTGAGCGTATTCACCCTCCACCATCAACAAAGGAGACCCCTCGGTACCTCCTGTGTGTGTGGGCTTCAGTGACTTATTGTGTCAGACTGTCTCAGCGCCTGTTCAGATCTGTGTGTGCGGATTGTGCCACCCACCCACCTCCTTCTGCTGAGCTGGACCTGGACGCTGGATGTGGCCGTCCCAGTTGACTAGCTGTGTGCAGTGGCCGCTCACTGGTTCCTGCTCGGGTTTGGCGTTGGAGGTTCATGCTGAGTCCTGCAAACCGTGAAGAAAAAAACATAAAAACTCTTTCTGATGAACATACATTATGTTCAGTTTAATCCTTTGACACCCTTTCAAATCTCTGCCTGGACATTTTTACTTGCTTTAATTGTACGCAGTTCTTTAAATGTCCTGCGAGTCAATATATAGTTGCCCATTAATCCATAACAACTGCAACTTTCAAAATCAAGCAAGTTATTTTTGCAATTTACCATCTACTAAAATAGTGTCTCATCAGTTTAATTTCACTTCCTGCTAGAGCAGAGGTGAAATTACCGTAATAACCCGAGATTGGCTGGAAAGCGCAACATCTCAATTTTCAGAAACCATCGGAATTTAATTACAGTGACTTAAAGAGCCCTCACAATACAATCTATAAATTTAATAGCACAACAAAAAATTTAATCTTTATGACACTTAAATACAATTTGCATAATAATAGAATAATAATAGAGCCACCAAATCTCCTGAAGGTCTGCTGTGTGGAACCGAGCTTTCCCCTGCAGATCCATTAAGTCAAATTTAAGTCTGGACTTTGACTGGTCTGCTCAATTCTGCAGGGATAATTTGATGATGATTGTTGTGCTTTACTTTGTGTGAAATCTCTAAAGAAAGTACAGCAGCTGCATCACTTCCAAAACTTTTGTTTTCTAAAAACTGAACTTCCTGAGCATGGTGTTTCTCTCCCGGCTCAATTATCACCAAACTTTAATAGGCTTTCTTATCGCAGCAGTTTGAAAATCCCAGTGCAAAGTTAATGAAGGTGCAACAGTACGCTGCAGCGTCTACGTCTTCCTCTTCATCTCAGTTTGACAGTGGGTGGTGGTTTCAGTTTGATCCATTGTAGTAGCCTGTCAGGTTCCTAAAACCCCTCTCCGAGAGCTGAACGGTTTTAATAATGCACCGCGGAGAATGTTCCAACTTCTACGGGAACAGAACTGGTGTTCAGACATCTTTCTGAGGCGCTGATGTTCTCTTTGTTCTTGAGTAGTGCTGCTTTTGTTCAGCTGCATGAATAAGATATAAAAGCTGATCTTTGCTTCTGTCAGACTTCACATTGCATGTCATTAAGCGTGTTCCCGTTCTTTTGCGCCTGTGTTGTGGATTTTGTTACTGAAATACTGAACTATTTGTGTGGACAATGTAGCTTTTGATAGCAATATTTATTGCAAGGTGGTTTAATTTAAGCCACACTTAAGTTTTTTTTTTTAGAAAAATATTAATCAACTACACATTTTAACAGCGCAAAATTATGTCAAATTAACTTTTTTGAGCTTTACATCATATTAAGTTTGAGAAATCTTCTCATTTCCAAGGCAACCATTGTGCAAAATGCCTGAGTAGACCTAGCAGCTCCTCACCCTCTCAGCTCCTTCAGACTAGCCAGCAACCACTAGCAAACATTCGTTGGAACTGCTAAGCTCATTATAGGAGCTACTTTTCAGTAAAACGTTGCTAAAAATGTTGTTAAAGGGTTAATAGAGGAGCCATGTTGTGATCACTTCCTGAAGATGAAGTTTCAGAAAAAGCAGGAGTTTTTAAAGTGACCTAAATTCAAGGCACTGAATTAAAAAGTCAAATTTATTTTAAGTCATATTTTATATATGTGGGATTTTTATAAAAACTGAAGGTAACATGGTTACTTGGTTGTGCTATAAAATGGCGCCTTAATAGTACATAATTAAAAATGTATTTATTTTTGCTCCTTTGTTGAACCCATATTTTTTTCTTCCATTAAACTTTCCATTAACAGGATTCTGTAAACATTGAGACAAATCCACATGATTTTCCAGGCCACAACATAATTATTTTTTTTGCATTTGTCTTTTGTAATATTCAAACTTTCAGTGAAACATTATTTGAGGTTTTCATTAGCGGTGGACCATAATCATCAAAATTCATTTTCATAAATGGTTGAAAATGAATTTCAACCATAAATGGTTGATTTAATGCACACTCTGTGTGCATTAAATCTAAATGAGTTTCACTTTTTTAATTGATTTACTGTAACAAATTAACATTTCAATAATAATCTGGTTTATTAAGATGCATCTGGGATTTTCCTCGTTGACTGGTGTGCTCTTCAATCGAAGCTGCAGCTTCTCCTGTTGATAGCAGATCAATGTTGTGAATTTATTTCTTGGCAGATCCAGGATTAAGTGCTGCAGTTTTTGTCACGCAGGTATGGGCATGCTAATGCTATTTGTCTCGCCTTGACTCACTCAGAGCACAGTCTGGGTTTACTCCCCCACTCCACTGCACGTCATCCATATTCAGACATGCAAATCCAGCTTGGCCGTGGATCGTCTCTGAACATGTCAAGTCTTTATTTAGAGGACAAAAAGTGATCTATGTTGAACTAAAATACATATTGTAGTGGTGATGGAGCATATAATTGAACAAATGTTCCTAGTTAATATCACAGGGGTTTATATAACATTCATTATGTCTGTTAAGATTTTTTTTTAAAAGCCTTATTTTGGTTTGAAAGGCTCAGTAATTGATTGGTTTGGTTTCTTGTCCCTGTTATGGGCTAATTTAGTTCCCTGTCAGCGCCTCACAGAAAAGCCTCAGCTTGTTTTGGTGCAAAGAGAACTACTCTAATGACCAGACTCTGTGCTCCTTAGGAAACACTGCAGTTCTCAGGAAAAGAGCAAGTTATTATCCTGAGGGGTTAGAAGAGCCAAACGTAACAATAAAGTAAAACGCAGATGGTAGTTCGGGGAATTCCCAAATCTGTGAGGAGATATTTATACAGAATGATCACTGTCTCTTCAAACAATGTGCAAAAGCCCAGAGTGTGATGACTTTGGAAATCTCTGATTGGTTAAGTGAGACATTTGACTTAATTGGTTGTATTTTGAAGCCAAAAAAAGAACACTTTATTTTGGGAAAGCCAAAAGAAATCAGCCAAGATGTTAGAAAGAGAAATCTAGAAATCGAGATCATCATTGGAAACATTTTACCAATGAATGAAGATATCGCATTCATCCATTCAATCTATTTTATATAAATATAGACATGACAGGAATGTCTAGCCATCATGTCTATAATTGCTCTGTCTTTTGGTCCAAAATGTGCAGATTGACCAAAGACCTTCAGTAGCTGCTGAGTGAAGCTGGTAAGACACTGTCATTATGAGATGCGCAGTTCCAGCAATGTTCTGATGTGGCCACCACAAAGTCCTGATCTCAGTCCGACTGAGACAGTGTCCAGTATTCAGTTCTGTCAGGAGCAATGGGCCAGAACTCCAGCTAACTATTAAGAAGAGTTTTTGGGAGGAAAACCAACACCTTTGATTCAATTTATACATTTTTAAAGACAATTACTTATCCCTGATACTGACCAAATAAAGTTCCCAAACAAACTTTCTAAAGTATGTTTTCTAGGATTCAGCAAAGAGAAATAATTTGGGTAATTCAGTCTAAGCTAAACCAAGAAAAGTTTGGTCTGATTCAACTTTGACAGTGAGTCTCTTGGTGTGTATTGTCAGGATGACTTTGTTATTCTTCACTAATATGGATATTGGATGAGTGTATTTATTAGCTGAGCTGTTCGCAGGGCAGAATCATAACACTGGCTAACAGAAAAGACTAGAAAAGTTATTCATAGATTTAATTACTTTAACTTCATTACCCTGCAGACGTGAGAAACTGTTTAGATGAGTGATATGAGCTATTCTACTCTGGATGTTAAGCTATCACTGCGATTTATTTTTTACAATTTATATGCAGAAGACAGACAATTTGCAGTAATACGAGACTCACATTACAAAGAATGAAGCTGGCATTAATTCATTTAAATATGGAATATTTTCGCTCCTGACATCCATAGTATTCAGATGTGATGAACTGGAACATTTTATCCTCTTGGCTACATTAACATTTATTTTCTTATGGATTTTTTTTTGCATAAGATTAAGAGAATAACTTCCTACTATCTGAAGTGAAGTTTGGAAAAAAAAATTTCAATGAAATTTGCTAATTAAACAAAAAAAAGAAAAAGGTAAAAAGTGCTAACCTCGTCTTTCCTGTCTGTAGGCGTCTCCGTCAGCATCTCCACCTTCAGCCTGGTGGCCATCGCCATCGAGCGGTACAGCGCCATCTGTAATCCGCTCAAGTCCCGCGCCTGGCAGACCCGCTCCCATGCCTATCGCGTCATCGCCGCCACCTGGGTGGTGTCGCTGCTCATCATGGTGCCCTACCCCGTCTTCAGCGTCCTCAAGTCCTTCCCCAAGGGCAACGGGACGGTGGGGAACATGTGCCGCCTGGACTGGCCCAGTCAGCAAGCAGAGCAGACCTGGTGAGAGCAGGAAATCAGAAAGATTGCACCTATTTAATAATTATCAGGTAGAAACGTCGATGAAAGCTTGCAGAATATTGTTTCCTTTATCCTGCCTCCAAATATGTGGAGAAAAAGTTGAATTTCAGTCAAATGATGTCATTTGCATGTGTGTTGCCAGTATCTTCAGAATGGTGCAATCATATGACTTTCTCCTGATTGCACACGTTGCATGCTGATCGGCTCATTTTGGTAATTACGCTCAGATTTCCTGCTCAAACTGTTGGTGACTTGTGCCTTCACGGCGGGTTTGACAAATTACTGTTCACCCTTTTCAGCTTCACAGTTTAAGAAAAAGATGAGGAACTTCCTACTGTCTGGTGTGAAAATGTATTTCCTCCTTACAGAATGACGCAGCTTTTCTTTTTTACCACCTTTATGAATGAGATCAAACTACATTTTAATGAGACAACCTGAGGGAACACAAACAGACAATTTCAAGTGATTTCTTGATTTTCTGAGAAGGAAAAAAAAAGCAATCCAAAATAGTGTTTGTTTTAGATTTCTCTTTGTATAATTGTTTTAAATTAGGTTAAAATCTGAGGTTTTTACAGCATGAACAAAGGTCATATCCACAGAAACTCAATTGTTTTTAAGTTTGGACTTTGACTAGACCTCCCCAAAGCCTTGAATTTGAGTATCAAATTCTTACAAATGGTTTTATAAACCTTTCTAGGCTGACAGATACACATGATCAATTGTTTGAATTTTTTGGTTTTTTTTTGCATTTTATTTTTTATTTGTAGTTTTAAAGATCTTTTAGCTTTAAAATATTTAAAAGCGAAAAACAGTTGTTTTTAGCTTTTAGTTGTTTTAAGTTTTTTAGATTGGTTGCTGCTGTCAGATAGGTTTTATTGAAGCAATTACTTGATTTTACAGAATTGGGACTGGTTGAGACTGTCATAATGGGGAATTTTATTTCCAGCCCATATGCAGAACACAATACGCAGAGAGATCCAGGTGGAGTGCAAATATTTACAAGGTTTATTTTACACAACAGTGAACGAGGAATGACAGGGATTCGGGTCCGGTCCACAGGAGCGCCTCGGGAGGGGGAGCGATCGGGAACTATGTAAACAGATGAGGTGGTGAGTTCAGGGACAGTCGGAAACACGGTGTGAGGGTAAACAGGAACAGTCTTACTTGAGGGGTAGACAGCTGCAGCGTGGAAGAGATTCACTGCAGGGTAGCGGCAGGGTGTGTGTGTGTGTAGGCGGGCGGACAGGTGGGCTCGGTGTCCACGGTGGGAACGCGGAGCAGGACGAGGAGCGAGGCACGAGGAGCGAGGAGCAGCCAGCCAAGGAATCCGAGGGGAGCCTGTTGTTGCACGGAGAAGGTGAGTCGAGAAACTCAGCACAACGGGAAATCCTTCCACTGCATCGGGTGAATGGTCTGGTGAAAGAAGAGAGCGACAAGGAGACAGTCACAGGAGGGCAATCTCAGACGAGAAGGAAAAGAACGCTTGACAGCAACAGGGAGGCTCAGAGGTACCAATACGGGAAGACACTCAGGCGCCGAAGACTGGCAGGTTGCTCCTGAAGACGCCGCTCCTGATGAGCTCAACTCGCAACCGGTGTGCTCGCTGACGTAATCCAGCCCACCGTCCTGACAGCGCCCTCTGGTGGAAAAGAAGAAGCACAACCACCCAAACCAAACCCATGGCGAAAAAACGCTAAGAACACCCCCCAAGACCCTGACAGTACCCCCCCCTAACGGTTGCCTCTAGGCAACCCAGACGAGGTAGAGGGAAGCGAAGCCCGGTAATCAGAAATAAGGGACGGGTCCAGAATGTAAGACCCCGGGACCCAGGAACGCTCCTCAGGCCGTAACCCTCCCAATCTACGAGATACTGCCACCCCCTACCGCGACGACGGGAATCCACGATTCTCCGAACCGTGTAAGCCGGATGGCCATCGATCTCACGGGGAGGCGGAGGAGCCTCGGCTGGAGGGCAGAGCGTGCTGGTCTGTACGGGTTTGATCTGGGAGACATGAAAGGTGGGATGGATGCGGAGAGAGGCGGGGAGACGGAGGCAGACTGCAGACGGGTTAATGATAGTCTCAATTTCAAAAGGGCCGATGTAACGGGGTGAAAGCTTCCTGGAAATGGATTTTAAGGGGATGTCGTGGGAGGACAGCCATACCTGTTGACCAGGTGTGTAAGTCGGGGCGGGGCGCCGCTTACGGTCAGCCTGCCGTTTTATCTGTGCAGCGGTGAGGTGGAGATTACGAATAGTGGAACTCCAAACCTTATGACAACGTCGGATGTGGTGACGGACAGAAGGGACAGAGATGGAATCTTCATCAGAGGGTAGCAGCGGAGGTTGGTAGCCCAGGGACGCCTCGAATGGGGACAAACCTGTGGCAGAGGAGACATGAATATTGTGAGCGTATTCTACCCATGGTAGAAACAGAGACCAGTCGGAAGGGTTGGAGGAAGAGAAACATCGGAGGGTGGCCTCGAGATCTTGGTTCAGCCGTTCGGTTTGTCCGTTCGACTGTGGGTGAAAACCAGATGTGAGTGATGCTTTGGCGTTTAAAGCAGAGCAAAACTCCCGCCAAACCTGGGAAGTGAACTGAGGGCCCCTGTCCGAGAGTATGTCCGCGGGAATGCCGTGAAGCCGGAAAACGTGTTTTACTAAGAGCTTAGCCGTTTGAAGGGCAGAGGGAAGTTTGCGGAGCGGGACAAAATGACAGGCCTTGGAAAACCTGTCGACTATAGAAAGGATGGTAGTCATACCCTTAGAGGGTGGCAAACCCGTGACAAAATCTATGGCGATATGAGACCAGGGTCGCTGAGGAGTGGGAAGTGGTTGCAGGAGACCTGAAGGGAGTTGATGGGAGGATTTATTTCTGGAGCAAATGGAACAGGCCCGGACATACTCTCGGACGTCTTTGTGGACTGATGGCCACCAGAACCGTCTGTTGACCAGGGCAATCGTCCGGCTGACTCCGGGATGACCCGAAAATCGGGAGGCGTGGATCCACTGGAGGAACTGGGGGCGCACGGAAGAAGGGACGAATATCTTGTTAGCCGGACAGGACTCTGGAGGGGGTTCGGAGTGTTGAGCTTGCGTGATTATTTCCTCGATCTCCCAAGTCAGAGCTCCCACTGTGCAACTGGGTGGGAGAATGGGAGCAGGAAGGTTGTCAGAGTCGTCGGGAGAGTAAAGCCGGGACAGTGCATCTGGCTTAGTGTTTCTGGAGCCTGGACGATAGGAAATAGACAGATTAAATCGGGAAAAGAATAGTGACCACCGTGACTGGCGAGGGTTCAGCCTCTTGGCAGACTGCAGGTAGGCGAGGTTCCTGTGATCGGTCCAGACCAGCACCGGTGTTCCGCGCCCTCCAGCCAATGTCTCCACTCCTCCAAGGCTAGTTTTATGCCCAGCAGTTCCCGGTCCCCCACGTCGTAGTTCCTTTCTGATGGGGACAACCTGCGTGAGAAGAAGGCACACGGATGAGTTTTATTGTCAACTGCGGAAATTTGGGACAGCACAGCTCCGACTCCCATGTCAGAGGCGTCCACCTCTACGATGAACTGACGAGACGGATCTGGCTGAATGAGGATGGGGGCATTGGAGAACAGGCTCTTGAGGTGATTAAAGGCCCTTTCAGCCTCTGGGGTCCAACGGAATGGAACCTTAGAGGAAGTCAGAGCGGTCAGGGGTAACGCGGTTTGACTGTAATTGCGAATGAACCTACGATAGAAGTTGGCAAATCCTAGGAATCGTTGGAGCTGTTTGCGAGTTTCCGGAATGGGCCATTCCAATACTGCCTGGATCTTCTCCTCCGTAGGCCTCACCTGTCCGCCCCCTAGGATGAAACCCAGAAATGAGACGGAGGACTGGTGAAATTCACATTTCTCTGCCTTTACGTAAAGTTTGTTCTCAAGCAATCGCTGGAGAACCTGCCGCACGTGAAGTCTGTGTTCCTCCACTGACTTGGAGAAAATTAAAATATCATCGAGGTAAACGAATACAAATATATTTAGGAAGTCTCGGAGGACATCGTTTACCAGCGCTTGGAAAAACGCAGGGGCATTGGACAATCCAAAAGGCATAACCAAATATTCGAACTGCCCCATGGGAGTCTTGAAGGCAGTTTTCCATTCGTCGCCATCGCGAATGCGGAGCAGATGGTAGGCATTTCTCAGGTCTAATTTAGTAAAGATGGCGGCTCCTTGGACGGGCTCGAATGCAGAGGATAATAGCGGTAAAGGGTACTTATTTTTAACAGTGATGTTGTTGAGTCCTCTATAATCAATACAGGGCCGCAGGGATCCGTCCTTCTTCCCAACGAAGAAGAACCCCGCTCCTAGTGGTGATGATGAAGGCCGGATGATCCCTGCCGCAAGAGATTCCTTTAAATATTGTTCCATGGTCTCCCTCTCCGGACGGGAAATGTGATATAGGCGACTGGAGGGCAGAGGGGCTCCCGGGAGCAGGTCAATGGAACAATCATAGGGTCGATGCGGCGGCAGGGAAAGAGCCTTTACCTTGCTGAAGACTGCAGAGAGGTCGTGGTATTCAGGGGGTATGGTGGAGAGGTCAATTTGATCTGTCGTCTGCAGGAAGTCGGATGACGACCCGGGAGGAACTGCAGAGCGGAGACATGATGAGTGGCAGGGAGTAGACCAAGAAACGACGTGCCCCTCGGACCAGTCTATTTGGGGGTTATGTTGTTTGAGCCACTGGAAACCTAAGACTACCGGAGAATTAGAAGTGGGAAACACGAAGAAAGAAATCCACTCAGAGTGGTTGCCGGAAATGGTCAGGTGGAGCGGTTTCGTCTGGTGAGTAATAGGCTGTAATGTCCTACCGTCTAGAGAGGTGACTCTAAAAGGAGTTGGCAACGGGACTGTTTCAACGCCCCTCTCTTTGACAAAAACCTCGTCCAATAGGTTCCGTTCACACCCCGAATCAACGAGAGCGGATAATGGGAATGACTGATTAGCGTGGGTTATGGTAGCCGGCAAAAGGAGTCGCGGTGAGGTCTTCTGATTCTGGTGGTCCGCCACCACCCTCACTCCGGCTGGCGGACCTGGGAGTTTGACCGGAGCGGGCAGGAGGAACGGAAATGGCCTGGCGCACCGCAGTAGAGACAGAGGCGACTCGACATTCTACGTTGTCGCTCCTGCGGTGTGAGACGCGTACCACCCAGCTGCATGGGTTCGGGGGTAGCCGAAACGCGGGCAGGAGATGCTAGCGGGGCTGCTCTAAGCCGTCCGTGGTCTGCCTCGGGAGAGCGGTGCCGACCTCTTTCACGAGCGCGGAAGCGGAGACGATTATCGAGCCTGATTGCGATACTGATAAGGTCCTCTAGAGTCTTAGGCTCGTCTAAAGTGGCTAATTGGTCTTGTATAGGCTCATTAAGCGCCTGGAAAAACACGCTCTTTAGCGCTGCCGCATTCCACCCCGTGGAAGCGGCTTTGGTGCGGAAGTGGATAGCAAAATCAGCCACAGTCTGTTTTCCCTGTTTTATGTGCAAGAACTCACGGGAAATGTGGGTCTTATCGGAGTCCAAGCTAAAAACCTGTTTAAATTCAGTCAGGAAATGGTCAAATGAAACACCGTAATCCGTGGGGTCAGGGAAACGGGATTCTGCCCATAATAAGGCTTGACCAGACAGCTGTGCGAGCATGTAGGCTATCTTTGTGCTGTCTTGAGAGAAACTCTGGGGAGCGCTGTTGAATATAATAGAACATTGTAGCACAAAACCATTACACCTTGTACGGTCTCCGGAAAATTTTTCTGGCCCGGGGAGGCGGACGTCGGAAAAGACGGGCGGAACCGGAGCTATCGGACCAGGAACGGGGGCAGGAGTAGATGGTGGTGATAGAGAGCTCTGCAGAAACGCGGTTAGCTCTCCTAAACGCTGGTTCGTTTCCGTCTGGAGATCATGGAGTTGTCTAAGCGCCACCTTGTGGGCCTGGATCTCAGATTGCTGCTCGATCAACGTTTTGCGAATTGCGTCCGCTGGACTGAGAGTTTGGCCTGAGTGTTCTGTCATAATGGGGAATTTTATTTCCAGCCCATATGCAGAACACAATACGCAGAGAGATCCAGGTGGAGTGCAAATATTTACAAGGTTTATTTTACACAACAGTGAACGAGGAATGACAGGATTCGGGTCCGGTCCACAGGAGCGCCTCGGGAGGGGGAGCGATCGGGAACTATGTAAACAGATGAGGTGGTGAGTTCAGGGACAGTCGGAAACAAGGTGTGTGGGTAAACAGGAACAGTCTTACTTGAGGGGTAGACAGCTGAAGCGTGGAAGAGATTCACTGCAGGGTAGCGGCAGGGTGTGTGTGTGTGTAGGCGGGCGGACAGGTGGGCTTGGTGTCCACGGTGGAAACGCGGAGCAGGAGCGAGGCACGAGGAGCAGCCAGCCAAGGAATCCGAGGGGAGCCTGTTGTTGCACAGAGAAGGTGAGTCGAGAAACTCAGCACACGGGAAATCCTTCCACTGCATCGGGTGAATGGTCTGGTGAAAGAAGAGAGCGACAAGGAGACAGTCACAGGAGGGCAATCTCAGACGAGAAGGAAAAGAACGCTTGACAGCAACAGGGAGGCTCAGAGGTACCAATACGGGAAGACACTCAGGCGCCGAAGACTGGCAGGTTGCTCCTGAAGACGCCGCTCCTGATGAGCTCAACTCGCAACCGGTGTGCTCGCTGACGTAATCCAGCCCACCGTCCTGACAGCGCCCTCTGGTGGAAAAGAAGAAGCACAACCACCCAAACCAAACCCATGGCGACAAAACGCTAAGAACACCCCCCAAGACCCTGACAGAGACTGGTGAAATTTAACTAAACCCTTCAAAAACAAACATCAGTTAATGATTTGACAAAAAATGTCGATGCTTTTTATTTGTATAATAATGAAATTAGCTTGGTAATACGGCATGTTTACAACAGAAGAATTATACCTGATTTCTGTCACCTAGTTGCTCCAACAAACAGCTCCTTAATCTGTTGCCATAACTGTGAACCATAGGAACCAGAAAAAGGAGAGTCACTCCGGAAAGTGTCACAGTGAATTACATCCATGAGTCTTGTGAAATAGGTGGCGCTTGAAGCAGAGTGATGCATGAGCCGCTGGCAGGGCTAATCCACAGCCAGAGCTGGTTGACCTGATGCCTGACTACTACTGCGAGTCGGTCTCAGTTTGATTTCCTGTTGCCAGATGCTGCAGACTGAAGAAAGCAGATGGGCAGCTGACTGATGGTTGCTCTCATCATGTGATCATCAATGTGAATATGATGCCACTGGTGCTATTCGAGGGGAAATTTTAAAACTAAATAGTAGTCTTAAATCTTCCTTTAATCCAAACAGAGCTGTAATGGATAAATGACTTTGACTCAAAATTGCAGCTGTGTAACAAATGATCTAAACTGGCTTGTGGACACAGATAATTTATCTGGAGTATTTTTCTATTAGATCTGCAGATAAATGATTTATGCATTTTCAAACCGTAACTACATTAAGCCCCAACAGCATCCCAGTTTGAAAAATTATTATTTTTATCTAATTTATGAGAATATAAGTATACATTCTCTTACTTTTTCACATTCATTCAATGTATTTTAATGCAGTAGAATTTAGTTCTGGGCTTTGACTGGGCCACAATAAAACACAAATATGACGTATTTGGGTTTTCTCTGGAAACTCTAACACTTAGAGAAAGGTCTTAACTCTTTAAGAACATTCTGGATTCTGCATCTATGTTCTGTTAGCACATCATATAAGGCAGGTGCAGCTTTACAGTTAATTTCTAAATCAGATGTATAATCTGTATAATCAGATGCAACCAATAATTAACTCACTTTTTTCTGTACAATCTTCATTTCTGTGTTATACTGCACCTTTTTGTTCTCCAGACGGCATAAATGTGAGGTCCTTGGAAGGCTTCTACAATATTTCTGAAAAAGCTCTTACATTATTGACTTTTTGGACTAATGAAAGTTGTAAAAGTTTGACAGGTTGTTCTCAAATATAAAGTAGGAACCGGAAACTTTTCTTTTTAATATCCAGAATGGACGGCACTAAAGATAATAAAAGTGATCGAGATACTAATGTTTTTTTTTTCTCTCTATTACAATTTTCTTGTCATTTTAAAATGAATGTTACTGCCATCTAATCCCTGCGTTTTGCTGAGGAAGAGCAACATTTCTGGAAAAGGTCAGAAGAGAAATAATTACTGCTGCTGCAGTTTGAGCTTCTCTGTGTGAGAAAAGCCTTCAATTCATCAGCAACACATGCTCCCTGTGGACCAGTAAAAGCTGCTTTGTTGCTTGGGAGATTCTGCAGGCCTGGATTAATACAGAAACAGAACCACAATACTTTCGAGCATCTACAGTCATAAACCTCTGAGATCCATATGTTGGACCTTCAGGGGTAACAATCAGGAGCAAAGCAGAGCACAGAGCTTCTCTCCTCTCGACAGGCTTTTGTAGCTGCCTTCAAGAAGTGGAAGACATAATTAGTCTAGTTGGTGAGGTGAAGGATAAAGAGGAATAAAGTTCTGACAGAATGAATGCATCTCAACTCTAGGTAACATCGCTGTCTTTAAAATTACTTCAGCAGACAGGTTTTTCACATCAAGAGAGTTACTGAAGCAGAAACACTTACAGGATAAAATGCTGAGTTCACATGGATGGTACTAAATGATAATGTGACGACATTGTGAAAACATAATCCACATGAGAAAATAACGACAGCACTTTCTTCCTCGGTTGAAAATAATTATAGCAAAATGGCAAAGAAGCAAAAATATGTTTTCCATGTGGAAAGGTTTCACTGCATAATTTAATTTTCAACACGCAAAACAAATTTCACTGCTGTATAGTTTTCATGTGAAACATGCCACTACATTAAAGTTATCGCATGTGAAACTTGTTTCACTCCACAACAATCATGTTCACATGTTCATGTTCAGCAGCAACAGGAGTTTTCTAGATGTTTTAGTTTGTGCCGTGATGAGCTCAGTTCACCTTTGCAGCCTTTGCAGGTGGGGAAATTATCATTATGTAAAGCAGATGTATAACACATGTAAATCCTTTTTTTCCCTCTGCTGATTAGTTTAAACCAAAACACAACTCTGCTGGTTGATAATCACGTAGCTTTTGAGTGCTGTGGGAACAGTCAGATACCTATTAATATTCAATAGGTTTGTTTTTCTCTCTATCTATTCCCCTGCTTCGCATCCAGCAGTCTCTCTTCATTTAGACCAAACACACACATATGCATGTTTTATATTAATATATATATAGTTTTTGCACCCACTTGGGTCCCAGGAGGTTTTTGTCTAAAAGATATTTCACATTATCAAACAGCTAGCTGATGGAATACTTTGAAGTTTTCTCTTTAAACTAGAAACGAATAAGAGTCCAGAGTGCTGCCCAGGAAGACATTAGAATATCACAGTGAATGAAACACAGCCTCTTCTTCTTTGGTGCCGCTTTTATGTGTCGACTGATCTGCAAGGTGGACATCCTTCATAAAGAAGGGGATCTTCTGCATGTGACCAGACTATTATTATTGATCAAAGTGGCAGCTGACCATCCTCTTTTTATCCTATTAGTGCAGCACTTTTCCGGTTTCCCTCGTATATTAGCTGAACTTAATCGGCCCGTATTTGTAGAAACAAATGCGATTCATGATCAGAGAATGTTGAATGTACCATCTGATCTTGATAACTTTATACTAGCCTTTCCTGTAATTTAAAGATTATATTTTATTTTTGCGTCTTTATTATGACTATATTCTCGAAATTAATTAATAACAAAAATGGAATGAATTAAATAAAACCCAGTTTTTGAAAGATTTTCCAAAAAGAAGCAAGAAAATGTCTTCATTAAATTAGTTTTAAGCCAATAGTGTATTGTTGTAATGTCACAGAACATGGAGAATTTCAAGTGTTCTGAAACTTGCGTGACTGGATCCGGATATTACTAAAAGTAACATCAACCTTTCATGGCTGAGCTCGGATGAGATGAGAAACAAGAGTAAATGTTCCTGTGAAATGTTAGCAGAACCTCAAAACTGATAAATTACCCATTGTGGTTCTGAAATTGATGTGCTCCGATATGCTGGACTTAGAGTCAATGTCATATTTAACAACTGGCTAAGTAGAAAAAGACAGAACACAAGAGTTTGTGTTTTTCAAACCTCACTCTCATCTCCATGTGGCGTTCGGGAAAGAAAAGACGGTCCTAACTACTGACAAGAGCGAATCCTTACGCAATCAATCTGCTTCGTAAAAATCTCCCCCTGAAGCTGATGTGAAATGTGTTGATACATAAAAATGTTGCATCAGCAGGAACACCCCCTGTGCTGTAAGTAAACATCTTAATAGGACGGAGTGTGTGCCGCAGTGCTGTCAGAGAGCAGTTTGGAGCCATCTGGAAAGCCTACAGCATGGCTATACAACATACGCTGTGAGGCGTTTTGGCTAGATTAGAAAACTTTAGGTTCACATCCAACTTGTTCAGCTCTGTGCCATGTGTCTCTCTCTTTTGCAGGTATGTTCTGCTGCTGTTCATTCTGTTCTTTATCCCGGGTGTGGTGATGATTATAGCCTACGGTCTGATCTCCAGGGAGCTGTACCGAGGCATTCAGTTCGAGCTGAGCCAGAACAAAGAGACCGCTGGTGAGATTCGTCACAAATCCACTCTGACCTTCAAAAAGCTCCTTGTTCCTGTTGATTTCACTAACCAGATTTACTCTGATTAGCTGTGTTTGAGGAAAAGATGAAAGGATTTACCTAAGTTTTATTACTGCAGTACAATGGGATTCTTGTTTATTTTGCCTCAAGCAGCGACTGACATATTTTTTGAGCACCCACGGATTTTGCACCTGTGTCATCCAAAATTGCACTTCCTCTCTGACTTCCTAAAGCCAATCCACACTGGAGCGCTATCTCATGCAGGAGCTAAAGGATAATCCTGTCTGGAAAAGCTGAAACAGTCTCGTCTGGCGAATTATACAAGCTCTACGTGTCAGGATAATCAGCTTCAACATAAACTAGACAGCAGTGAGTTCGTCAAAGCTGGCAGCAAAAAATAAGCACCATAGTCACACTTCTTACTCTTTTATGAAGCAGAAAACGATTAACATGCCATCTGACATTGTCCCTGATGACCACACTTAAGTACACAAATAATAAAACCATATTGTGTTTTTAAAAGCACCTAAACGTATATCTTATTCCAAAATTTGACAATTTACAACCACAAACTTGAATGTGTTTCGTTGAACTTTCATACGATTATGAATTAGAAAACATATCTGAAAAATATGATGTACATTTGTATTCAGCCCCCGATTTTAGCCTTCCTTCACCACCGTTTCGAGTCCAATCAGTTGTCCTCCAGTAGAGCGTTTCCTCTAAAAATTGTCTGAGGTACTGATATATAGTGGTTGGAGCAGTCCGAGAAGTTATGAGCAATTTACTGTTTTACAGTCATAATGTTTTATAGCTTCACCATTTTCAGCTTCTTTCTTTTCAAAACATTTTATGGTTCCACTGAAGAACAATAAAACAAGTTATAAATTACATTACGTTTTATTAGCCACACATTAAATAAGAACTCAAGCAGAAAAATCCACAGATTTTCAGCGTTTTGTGTCTGGATTGTTCCTCTTGGATGACATTTGAGCTCAGTGTTTATTCATGGCAGTGTCCTTGGGTATAATTAGGAGTAAGACCACTTCCTCGGATTAAAACCAATCCTACAAATGGATTGCAACACATGGTAGCTTTCAGCTTCTTCCCAGAAAAATGCTTTTCCACTATTACTTATAAAAGATAAACGATCAGGTATAACTTTTCAACAACCTCTACTGTCCATCTTGTTACTTAATAATTTTAATAAACATTATTTCGCCATGTTAAAAGCTCTCATTTACAAGGGAGACCTGACCTCAGTTAGTCACAATAAACAACCAATAAACAACGATTTACAATAAAACAAATGCAAAAGGCCCCAAGTAAAACAATTTACTTTGCAACTTAAACATAATGGGATATATCTGTCATGGTCTTAAATACACTTAGAGACTCTGAAGTTTAAGTTTAAGCTCTGAATGCAAACTATTTCATAAGGTTGAAGCAGAAAAACTAAAAGCTTTAACGTCTTGAAAAACACTTCATGAAATGAAATTAGACTTATATTGTGCTTTTCAACATTTCGCAAAGACATTCCCATTCACACACATATTCACAAACTGATGGAAAGCTACAGAAGTGGCCATTTTGCGCCACTGGTCCTGACCAACACCAGCGGGCGAGGCAGGTAAAATGTCTTGTCCAAGGACACGACAGAGGCGGACAGAGCAGGAAGCAAACCGGCAACCTACCGATTAAAGGACGAACAGCCCTTCTTGTCAAAACGCTACTGTTCAAAAGTATTACCAAAAAGTATTTTCAGTTCTTGAACATTTTTAAGACTTGAGTGCAGTGTATTCTTAGTGATATATTTATTAAATGCCTATACTTTGTTTTAGCTATATAAAAGTGTCCCAATATGACAGTGTACCCGGTTCCCTCATAGGCCAGAAGAATGGTGTAGGCAGGGCTACGGCGGGGCCAAGTGATGATGACGATGGCTGCTACATCCAGGTCTCCAAAAAGCCATCATTTGCTGTGGAGCTTCCCACCCTCTCGTCCTCAACGACCACCATCCTGAACAAGGCTGAGCGTGCCCGCAGCAACACCTCCGAGGCTAAGCTGCAAGCCAAGAGGCGAGTCATCCGCATGCTGATGGTGATCGTAGCTCTCTTCTTCATCTGCTGGATGCCCTTGTACTCGGTTAACACCTGGAAGGCCTTCGACCCCAAGTCCGCCGCCATCGCCCTCACTGGAGCGCCCATCTCTTTCATCCACCTGCTGTCCTACACGTCGGCCTGTGTCAACCCCATCATTTACTGCTTCATGAACACTCGTTTCCGCAAGGCTTTGCTATCCACGTTCGCCTGCTGCTGCCGCAACCGCCTTTGCCGCCGGATCTGGTGGCGCCAGAGGAGAGAGGGGGAAGATGGCATCAACGCCACCTCCATGGGCACATCCATGGTGACCTCCATGTCCAAGTTCAGCTACACCACTGTCAGCACCGTTGGTACCTGCTGAGCCTGAAGGGGAGTGAGGTGGTCGCATCGGGGGCTGTCAGCAGGCATCGTTGAGTGCACCATCTGTTTTTTCAACCTTCCCGTTTGTCAGTCCTCATCCTAATATGCTGTGAGTCACGAGCTGAGTAATATCCACGTCCTCATTTAAAGGCCTCTCTGAAAAGGTCCTGCTCAAATTCTGTGTGCATGATTGCAGAAAGCAAGGCGTGGAAAGCGTCGTTTCAACGTGGTGACATTCTTTTACCTCTTAATTGGCAGCAACCGCCTTATTGCATCCAAAAAGAGAACATCAAGTGCCTGTGCTCTTGTAGCTTTGTCTGTCATGATTTCTTGTTCATTTGGTGGAATGAACTTCTCTTGGTTGAAACAAAAGTTACAAACTGTATACATAAATATCGTCTTTATGTTGTGAATGTGCCAATGAAAAATGTTTTGTCTGAAAAATTTCTCATAACTCCTTCAGCTTCTTTTGAGTTCATTGCTGTGTCACACCATGATTTTTTGTGAAAGTCTGCTGTGCCTTACAAAGGTACTAAAACCTCTTGAGCTTTTTCAGCTTCTGTCAACTGCAAACAGAAATGTAGCAAAACCAACTACCGCACAATTTTTGGCATTAAGGAAAAAGTATACATTTTTATTTAACAAATAAATATCTGAAAAGTAGAAAGTCCTTTATTTATCCCAACAGATTCAATGAATAATTGAGATATATTGAAAAGTGTTATAGTTTCATAAACTAACCATATTTTAAATGTCTCTCTGCAACTTTCTCCTTGACCTTTGGCGGCGTTTGTTCAATAATGTTCAGCTAAGTTTATATTTGTATTAAATTATTTATAGCTAGGATTACTAGCTACAAATGAGGCAATTGGTTGCATCAGATTTCATTTATGGGTGTTAGTGTGAAGGATACTGAGTACAAATACATTACTGTTATAATTCTGTCGTTCAAAAACATAAAAACCCAATGAAATAAATCAAAATTAGTGCCTCTTGCAAGACATAAAGGAAAAATTCAAGTTTTTAGGTGTATTATCACCTTTGTAAGGCATTGCATTGTCATTCAGTGAATAATATATTTTCTAAAAGAAATCATTTGGACTTTCAACCTAGCTGCCCAGAATCAATTACATTGAAATAACTGAAGACTACTGTATGAGCACGGTTCTCTTTGTCTGCTTAAGAAGAATAGCTAAGGAGAAGAGCCAAAGAAAGTATGTAAATTTATAAAAAAAGGTAGAATTCAAATGTTTTGAATTATCTGAGTCCAAAAAAGGAGCCAAAATAAAGTTTTTCCTTTGTCATGTTTCTCAAGCAGGCATTGCGAGATGTGTGAAATGCTAGCATGTTGTAAGTATGCAGTGTAATATTCCATTGCAAATATCCACAAGTTTTGAAAACTCTTCATTTTTTCAATTTCAATTTTCTCTGTTAGTGTCTTTTCTGAGCATCAGGCACAACGTGGAACAGTTTATCCCAAAGGGTTTTTCAGGCATTGCAAAGGACAGACATTAGGTGTGCTAGCAAGAAAGGAACATGTTGCTTCTCCCTAGAATGGGAGAACATTACTATAGGTTGAGATTTTGTTGGAAATAAAAAGAAGAAAGATTGATCACTAGGTTGTCTTTGCACTGGGTTTTTCATTTATTTTACTTCAGTTCATCATGTTATTCTGCCAGTTTTATCTATAAAGTCTATTTTTCACCTGCAGTCCTGGCTGCATGATGGATATAGAACTACAATAAAACACTAAATCAGCTGATTTATTCAATTGCAAGATAAGAACCAGACATGACTGCCTTTGCTGTAGCATTATGCTAGCAGGGCATGATCTTCAAAGGCAGATACAACCTGATGATTGTGGTCATGCAGTGGATACAAAGTGTCTACAACCTTTATAGTAAAATGCCAGGTGTTTGTAAAGAGAAATGAGATAACAATCAAATTATTTATTGGAGGGGAAAAATTGGAATAAAAAGTGCTGTGTTGCCTTTTTATCAAACATTCAGTTTTAATTACTGTTATTCCTGATTTTCTCCATTTATTGATGACATCATGCTCTGTGAATTGTTTTGTACCCTTCTCCTTACTAATACCTTTGTACAATTTGGACATTTTTACCTGAAGCTAAGAAATTTCAAAAGATCAAAAGTCTCGACAGCTAAACTTTATTTCTGGTCCGAGTGTGAATTAAAACTGAATCAAAAAGATTCCCCTGATGGTGTACATACTTATGTGACCTTTCACAATAAAGGCTGATTTTTTAGATCCACTGCATATGCTGAGATGATCATTTAAAAATGTTTTTAAAACATTTTTGTGGGTTTCATTCAGTTTGAAGTAAACCTTAACATCAAACATGAAGGGCAGGAAGGGAAGTAAATGTAAACATGAAATATTTGATGTGGAAAATGTGTGTGTATATGTCCATGTTTATCTAGACAATGGTTGTTTAATGTTGTGCAACAGTGTTGTTTGTGTGCTAATGCTGTTGTATCGACAAGTAATAATTTAATAAAAATGAAAGCAGACAAAACTTGAGCTGAAACATTGTATTAAATTTATGTAAGTTTACCCAGTGTAATTTAGTTGTGATGAATTTGGGTCGGTAAATATTTTTTGGTTCAACTCAACTTGGCTCGACTAAACTCTACCAGGTTTGGGTCGTGAAAAGGCAGCCAGACAAATGACGGGATTTGTATACAACAAACCATGTAATGGATTCACTCCAATAACTCAATCAGTTACAACATCCCCAAGCCAATCAATGACAAGCAGTCGACTGACGTCACATTTTCAGCTCATTTCATTTCAAGTAGAAATAAAAAAGATGCTGAAAACCCTAAAAAGTCGAGTTGAATCAAGCAAAGAAGGCACGACTGCAAAAAGGAGATTATGATTTGTTATTCTGAGCAAGAACCAGGTTTTCCATTTCCTGTTTATCTTCTTTCCACTTTAATCCGTCTCTAAATGTTCTGGAATAACCAGGGCAATGACGGAAAACGTCTGCGGTTTTTTGTTAGTTGATCAAATGATATAATGATACAACATCTCAAATTTAGGTCAGTTTTGAAACTAGTTGTACCATATTGGTTTTTGTTACTGTTTCAACTTTATTTGATGATTTAAGCAAGAGCTAATGCACACACCTATATAAATCTGCAAACTTTAAGGTATTTGCAGCACCATCTTATGTTCAGACCCAGCAGAGTTTAACTTCCTGGAGAAATAAAGAAAATTTAATTAGGGAGTTTTATTGTGTTCATCCACTCTTCTGTATAACAAATGGAGCTCAGACAGAGTTGGATATGAAACTGAAATCTGCAGTCGAGCTGCTGGTCTACACTGAATACTGATGTAGGCAATACTATTGGGATATAACAAAGCTCAACAAGCTCTAATAGTCCATCACTGAAAGGCTGGTTAGACTGTTGTTCTACTGTGGCCCATCTCTGCAGCAAAATGCAGAAAGTAGTGCTGCATTCATCCTCACTTACTCTGCTCAGTTATTCTTTTTGGCCACTGTATTGTGTTTTCAAATACTTTACTTAAGTACAGAGTTCCCATTTGGATGAAAAGGTGTTACTCTGACCTTTTCCTGCTGGGCACTTTCAATTTGCAAAACTGAACTCAAACTGCGCCAATCGTGAGAGGCTATTAGATGTTTTAAAGGCCAATAAAGTTGATTTTCAAATTTTTTATGCAACCCTGGGAATGAGAAACCCACTGAATTTAGCCACAAAAGTAGAACAAAAAGATTATGTTGCTAAGATAGCCTCAAACAAAACCTATAGTGGTTCCGGTTAGTGTTGGCTTTTGATTTAGACATTTACTGTCTAAATTTCACTTTGATATTCATGTTATAGTTTTAAGAAATCTAAATTACACAGAGATAACTAAATACATTTTGACTGATTAGATAATAGAGCACATATTACATGCCAGGACATTTTAAAACATGCTTTTACTGTCATTTTAAGCCATTAAGAAAGTTTATGTCACAGATTATGCCTTTAACAATATTCAAAACTTGAGAAATGCCTTGCAGTAATTTCAAGCCTCCAGAGTCTAACTGTATGTGAAGAAAATACGGTCTATAAAAAGTCACTGAGTGCAGATAAATATGTTTAAGTGTGAAGGAAAAATAAAATTAACTGTTCACAAACATTTAATGAAAGTAGTTAAATCTGGGGTTTATTCTTTGTCTGATTCAGCTCAAGTGTAGCTTCATCACAAGGTGGAAATTAACCAATCAGAGGACGACTTTGGAGAGAGGACAGCCATGCTGATCTGGTCAACCGATAAGAAGACAGAATATTTTTGGGGTACACAATCTTTAAACTGAGAGAATCCAAGAATCCAACTATACTGGTTTTCAGAGATTATTCACAGCCACTAAAATATGCACACAAGGACATTCAGGACGATATCTGTGTGGCATAAGATGTTCTTTTGGCAAACGGCAAGAGTCAGTCAACTGTATTTTAGAGGATTCAATCACTGGCTGTTGTTTAACATGTTAAATTATGAACATTGCCACATTTGCTCATTACCAAATCAAATTTATATGGAAACAATTTATATTTCCATTCATGAATTTAATCTACTACTCCAAAATATGGATGTGATTGTCCTGCACTGAATAACTTAACACTGCATCCCAACATGGAGTAGTACCCTAATTGCATCAGCAGCACAGAAATAACAGGATTTGTGTTAAACAGTGAGATGTGCTGCTTTTTGTCCTACATACGGTGAGTGCTGACAGCTTAGCGCTGTCATGTCTTGTCACTTTCAAGTTTGGTCCTTGTTTTTCAAGCCATCCGGTTGCACTTTGTGTCCCCACAGCCCTTCAGCTACCCACCCACCCACCACCCAGCTTTTATCCTTTTCACAGCAGAGGCGTATAAATACATGAATGACAATAGCGTGTGGGTGACAGCAGAGATTTTGCAGGCACTAGCGCAGTCCGAGAGCGCTTTACAGGCAGCGGCGGCGAGCTCAGCTCCCAGACTGACAATTGGCAAACAGAAATCCCAGAGAGCTTTACTTGTAAACACTCAGCTTGACAGCTTCCCCTCTGTGTTCTTTTGTAATTAAGTCAGGAAACAATGAGTGATTTCTATTCTTTTGCCCGTTTTTGCTTTCAATTATTTTTCAGTGAATTAATTTGTTCGGGTGCTAGAAACATTGGATGAGCCTGCAGTTCTGTCTACAAATCTCCTTTAAAGGAAGGTTTAAATGGAAATTTGTTGTAATTTGTACTTGATTTCCTTAATAATAACATTAATATATGCTTTAAACTTTAATTTTGAATCAACTCCAGCCAGGAAACAGCTCCAAGTTTTATCTATTACAGCAGTTTAAAGAATGTAGTAGGAAAACCGCAGCTACATTTTCTTAAGTCTACTTTTAATTGGTTGGTCAAGTTTGTGACAACACCTGTCCTGAAAGTTGGTAAGAGTTGAACGTTTTCTTGATCTAAACAGGGAAGGACATAGAATCATAACAATGGATTAGAAAGAAGCTTTTGCCCAATCGAGTCAAAGCAATGGTTGCTGGATTTGGTTGCAGAAAATGTCTAACTGCTGTCAATGTTTTTGAAGTTCCTCCAAAGCTTTATTCATTTTTTTCTCCACACTTTCATTTATTCAATGTTACAGGACAACTTTAGTAGCTCACGCTGGTGGTGTGTCATGGGGAAGACCAGGAGGTTCCTTATTTATGGTATAAGCTTCACAGGAATGTCCCACCTGCATTGGGGAACGTCACAGCAGGGATAGGTTGGTGTTTTGGTACCCTGTGTCTCTCTCTCTACCTCTGACCTGGGGATTGCTGTTTCCTGTGTTTTGCTGTCAACTTGCATCTGTGTTGTGTGGCTACTCTGTGGGATTCCTGGTGTTTGTTTGCCTGGAGCTGCTACAAACTCTGCCCATTGTTTTACTAACTTAAAGCTGCAAGGTTTGTATTTTTCTCATCGTTGCACAATCTTAGTAGATGAAATGCGTAAAAATATCAACGTGGCTTCATATTTTATCTGCCTACTTCAACGTCAAATGCAACCCTGATTGAATAAAGTCAATTAAGTAATTTGGTTACCATCTCTGGCTGCCGTTTTTGAAGAGCAAAGCTGCTCTGGTTCATCCAGGCAACCAGCTTCTCCATATGCCTGAAATACCATGACAAGTGAAAACAAAACAATGTAATCAATGTCACTCAGTGACTTTTCTTGTCCAGATTGCTTACAAAAAACAGCAAATTTCTTTTAGTGAACCAAAGAATGTTCACTTGTGTTCACAACATAATGACAGAGAGGAACGACTATTACGAGTTCCCAAGTATTGAGAACAACGATTAACCAAAAAAAAGATGTTCCTTCGTTGCATTGGACCAGAACTGAGGAAGTTATTTTGGTCCTACTTCCTCACGGTCTTGGACAATTGCTCCTGAAAACCATTCGTCATGCTGAAAAACCAGCTCGGTGGGGCCCTTTTCCACATTATTCCCAACAATCACGCAATAGATTCCGATACAAGATGGGGTGAAAAGTTCACCAGGGAAAAGACGGGGTGGATGACATGAAGGCAGGAACAAAATAATCCAATTTTCACCATCCAACTCCAAAATTGAAAATCAATTTTAGCAGTGTGGCTCAACCTTTATTCTGGTGCCCACAGATAAAGGTCTGCACTAGTTCTCTAACTAACTGGTTAGAGAACTAGTGCACTAGGTTTGTGAGCTATTTAAATAACATGGCACGTTTCCAGCACCAGAGATGAAAACCCATTAAGGGTCCTGTTCTGTGAGCACAAGCTGTTGCAAATTGGACCTGAAATGAGCCTGAGGAAAGCAACAGCATTCATGTCGGGTTTCCTTCCCATCTCCAGCTCTCTCTGAAAGATTCCCATTAGCTGCTTTAGGCAAGGCGTAAACAAAAGCTTCATTTGCCTCAAGCATTGATACGATACGTGAAACTAATTTCGGTCAGCTCTGGTCAAACGTGACAAATCGACAGCAAAATTGCTGCATCATCTTCCCCTCCAGAAAGATATTAGCGCCTCTTTCAGTTTTAATTTAAAATATTTTTGTGTATTGAAGAAATGTTTTTTTGTTTTCACCTCTCAGCAAACACTGACAAATAATCCACGAGTCAATTACAAGACGAGGTTTCTCAATTATTTATAATGACTTCCTGGAGGGCCGTTACAAGTAAAATAAATCCTCTGTTGGATGGACGTCTCATTTTGTTGTCTTCCTAAATTATTCACAGTTTTTTTGTGCCGTTCACCTCCAACACAGAATGAAATATTTTGTTTTGGCCTGCAGGGTTTGCTCCAGAGCATTTGTGAACTCTCCTTTTTTCTGTATTTTCATACCTTGCTTTGCTCAACCCAGCACCTCGTATATCCCCTGCTGCTCGTCTTTACCGAAGGCTAGAAAGGAGACAAGAGGGCCTTTGGAGACGCTCCATGAGCATCGTAGGTGTTAAAATACATACCTAAGATTATAATGTTTTGCTGGTTACTCAAAAAAACAAAATCACTTCAGAATGACTAATTCTGCTATTCACTCGTCTAGGAATAAGACTAAAGCTCTTCAAATGCATGAGGACGGATAAAGAAAAAATAGCAATGAAAGAGACAGCATCCCTTGTGAATACAGTCAAATCGAAGTCTACGGGGGTTGATCCAGCCTCCAGAAGTTCAAACTAAATTCACAGACAGGGATGAGAGCTGAGGAGTCATCACTGCTGCAAAGCGCCGGCTTTAATCGCTTGTTCAGTAGCCGATAACAACGGCAGTACACCTCTTTTTCCTTCTATTCTTCAGAGAAACAATATTGGCTTGTGTAAAAACAGAAACACATTATTCTTCCCCAGGCAGTGCAGATGTCCATGCAGACTTTTTAATATTTTACAGAGAGAACATGGAAAACACAACAGTGTTTTGTTGTGGTAATGAATATCTGTCGAAGGCCGGGGAGCACTCAAGGCATTACTTTAAGAAAACGCTCTCCGAATTAGTCTCTAAAGCTATCCCACTTTCTATGGTAGTTTCAGTCTGAAGGGGATTTAACGCTGTAGTGTAATGTTTTTGGGGTTTTTTTTATTTTACCTTAAGCTAAACTTAATTCTGCTGGATTATAGAATTATATTTACATTTTCCAAGTATAGAAAATGGGAACATTGTCCATTTAGAGGTCCAGAAAGCCCTGTCTATTTGCTGTGTGCCTTTGCTATTGAAATAATTGGAGAGACCCTGTTCCTTGACGCAAATGTGCAAAATGGATGGCTGGGGCCAAATTGAGAGGGAGAAGGGTGAAATGGAATTGGACCTTTGCCAAACAGAGCCTGAGATGAAGGTCTGCGATGAAGATGAAGGTCATTTTAAAATGTAATCCAAAACATCAAGCAGAATACCACCAACACCAAACCAAGTAGAAACTATGAATGTTTTATTCTGTACTAGACAGAAATAGGATTATAATCAATAAATATGATTCTTTTTTTTATTGAATGCAAGAAGTTAAGGCAACCAGATCACTTATGCAGGAGTCTCAAGATTGCTTCTTATTTAAGCCATGAATGTTTTACCTGAGTTCTGCGAGACGCTGGAGCTCGGTCTGCCTGCACTGTGCCAGCTGCTTGCCAATTCCTACATCATCTGTCATGTCAGCTTTTTCTTTCACCCGCAGGATTCTGTAATGGGTGGAAAAAGCACAACGTCAACCGAATGGGAAAGCAACGCCTGTGTTGCACCCAACTGTGCCTATCTTCCTGAAGCACAGACAGACAATTTATTCTGACCATTGTGTAGGAATTCTCTCATTTTCTCTTCACATGTTGCCTCGTAAAACATGAAACAAGTCAGATTGATGGCTGCTAACTTAACTCACTGATGAAGAAGAATAAATAAGAAATAAAAACGTGTACCACAAAAACAAAGATACAGACGATCTGACATAGAAGTTGGACAGTCTGGTCTTTAATGCTGGAATACTGCATGTCGAAAACAAAACTCAGGATAAACCTGGCAGGTGAACTATGACCAAGTGTAATTTTCCAGTGCTGGGAACTTGCAGAGTCAAATGGCAGGTTGGTGGAGAAAGTAAATAAGGTTTAATTTGAACAAACGAAGAACAAGGCAGAGCTAAAGCAAACAGAGTCTTGCATGAGAAAACACCACTGGCAAAGACACAAAGACTGAGAATAAACAGAGAAACTCGTGAGGATGTACTCAGCATGTATACTAAGGGAGGATGATGACAGATTCACTGTGCACGTGGGAGTCAAACTAAACTAGAAAACACAAATGAAGCAGGCTCTGATAGCAAAACTAATATGGTAAAAAAAATAGGAGAAACCTGAAATAAATCAAATTGTTAAACCACCAAAACCATGGAAATTTTGAGCATAGGTTCATGTACAGAAAATGTTTCTTCTATTGACAGACATTTTTAAAAATGCAGTTAAGTCTTCATCTTAACCAAATTAAAAAGAGAATTGATATTTCTTTGATGCAGTTTATTTCTTCCTGTTTATCGAAGAAATGGCAGCTTGTTTTCATAAGCATGTGTATAACTCATTACTCTTTTGTTTCCATTCTCCACAAAACTGTGCAAATTGGAATTACAAAAATTTTGATTTCCTGCTAGAGCAGGCTCACTAGGATTTCTCTAACATGACAAAACTTGCGGTAGTATGAGCATTTAAACTCAAGATTATTTAAAATAGATACTTCCAAACAACAGAATCAATGCAAGTGCAGAAAGGATCCATAGAAATTACATGATCTCAGTTATGCAGATGCTCTCTCTGCGCTGATGAACATTGATCCAGTATTACTAGCAGAAGCTGCTGAAATTAACAGCATCCTGTTCTACTTCCCAGATAATTCAGCTTTTAGTTATTTGACAACTTGATAGGGCTAACAAACTCTTTATTGACCAACTTCTCAGATTTTTATGCAATTACATTTAAAAAAAAAAATACTGAGTAACATCACAGAAAAGAAACAGCTGACTAAAATATTGACTTGGCAACCCAGCTCTACTTGCCATCCTTTGCCTAAGCGCTCAGGTGGTTTCTATGACTTCCACTGCCACTGACGGCCATTCCAGTCAGTCTGACGACCTGACATAGAAAGAACACCTCGAGGTCACCACTTCCACCTGAACTGGACGTCAGTTTGAAGCAAGGAGACACATTTGTCACAAGAATCAGTAATGTCCTTCTGTTTTTGTGTTTTCTCACTTCTGAGGGCACGGGTTGGTCTTTGCGCAATCTGTCATTTAGTTGCTAAGAAACTAAAATCAAAAGAACATTCTCTCCGGTTCAGTATGTGACGCCGTCTTTGCACACAGAAAAACGATGCCTGCAGTTTGGAGGTTATATCGACCTGAGACAGGTAGGCCAATTCGGAAGTTTAGCGCATAAATACAAAAATTGCATGCATATCTCTGAGGAACAAAGGGATATCCTCAGTTATTTTCTGCTTTTTGACAAGGCTGTCTTAAAATTTCATTAAGCTGCAATGAGTAATCACTTGGCCTGTCTTTTATGAGGGAAAAGAGATGAAATCCTATTCTGGCATTTGTTTTGTCTGTGCTAGCCAGCTCCAGGCCAGGACCAACAGCTTGATGTACTTGGCAACGGCTGTGCATACATTTTCTACATCAGAGGGAAGTGTGAAGAAGTGTCGGTATAACAGGTTTATGCTCTCACCCCTGGTAAAGTGTCTTTCTTCTCATTTCTGTGACAGTTCAAGAAGTGCTCAGGTCGATTTGGAGTGATTAGTAAAAGGTCAAATAGGCTCTTGAGACTAATGAATAATAATAAGACATAAAAAAAAAAAAATAGTGTCACAAAACCTTAAAAAATTATGTGAAGCCAGTTAAACAAAAAATGTGAAGATGTGAAGTAAACGGAAGCTGAGCATATTGATTTAAACGAAGGTTTATCAATTGGTTAATTAGTTGAAAGTACAACTTTTGGTATTCCAGTGTTTTTATTCACACATTTCCTTTAGCGTTTTTAAATCTTGAATGTTTACAGATAATTTGGCAACAAAAACGCACAGTCAGATTAAAGATGCAGAGTAAAATATTCATATCTGATTTTAAAATTAGTAACAGCAAAATATGACTTCAAATGTGAAAGTAAATATATATTGGTGCCAGTTCGACACACGTTAAGATTATTATCTTGGTCCACGCTTGATGCAGCCTTTGTTAGCACATTAGCATCCATCATAGCATCTGTAGTGACAAATACATCCTTAAAAAAATCAAAGATGGCATTCCGGCGTTTCATATCTTTTAGCTAATCGCTAAAGGAAGCGACTTAGCATTTCTAAAGGAAGAGCTAGCATTAGCAACACTTAGCAACTCTCACTTTGTGTTGAAACCAGTGTATTAAATGTTTGTCAGCATAGCATAGCATAAACCAAGGTTCACTAAATGCCAAAGAAGCTTAAAAATCTGAGTGAAAAACTAATGAGAGACAAATCAGTGCTGTTGATTGTTTCTAAAAATATCCACATGCATCATCAAGGAGTCCAATCATCTAAATGTTCATTAATTTGATCATTACAGCAGCAATAGTTCTCATGTTGTAAACAAGAAACCTGTCAGGCGCCCTACATGCAGAGTCTCAGCTTTAAATGTAAGCTTTTCATGAAACTAAATTTAATTTAAGTCCCACAGTGAGATCTGGATGATCTTTTAATTAGGGATACTCCACTGGTTGAAATAATTACTGAAAGCAGCTGCATGTCTAACTCTGCTACAGCACTGACCAAGAGCATTGGCACGCATCAAACACCGGCTCCTGGTGATTGATTAATCCTTGTCTTATTATGTAAGTACAGTCATAATTTGTCTCGCAGCTGGATTAAAACTTTCTGCTTATCTCATGCTGCTTTCTAAATCATATTGTAGCTTCATAATGAATTTTCACTTTTAATAGTAGGAAAAGGAAAGAAGGAAAGAAAAGAATGACGATGAAATGCTGCAGCAAACTGGTATCCAAACTGCATGTTAACAAATGTTTCAAAAGTCAGAACTACGCATTTTAAACTTATGAAGACTGTGTTTTGATATAAAACACAGTAATAATTAATTTGTGGCATTTGGTTTCCCGCCAGTGCTTCAAACAACAACCAGCTGTCGGGTTGTTAAAATTGGCAGAGTATAAATGGAAAATAGTTTCATACCAAGGGATAAATCCAAACTTTCTGTTAAATACACATAGATTTGTTTAGCCAATGTGAAGCACAGAAAGGCAACAAACAAGGAGAGAAAGGAGCAGGAATACACCCCAAGACTACATCTCAAATGTAGTTTCACCTCGCCAAAGTACAAAAAACCCATAACGGCGTTTCAGAGCGCAGATCGACATCAATGACCTTGTGGGAATCAAATTATCAAGGCTATAGAAATCAGCTGTAGCACTTTTTGGAGCTGGCGCCACGGGTGATGTCTTCCAAACTGGGAGAAGTGGACATGCTGCTCACATCCTCCTTGCCTTCTGATTTACTCCTGGCTCCGTTGCCAAGACTCTTCGAGCGTCTTGGAGATGAGGAGGAGGGAGAGATCATCTTTCATCTGTGTTGACACGTCATTATGAAAATGGAGTCCTCTCTGGCCACGCCACATGGCTTAGCGGCCTCTTGCTGCTGGCTTCGTTCACCGAACCCAGTGCGAGCCAACAGGGCTGTCAGAGGATACTCCCTTGGCTTCGGAAAGGCAGAGATTATGTGCATAACGACAGAGAGACAGATAGAAGTGGAGAAAGAAAGAAAACAGGCCTATACTGTCCAAATTAAGCTTGCACTTCACAATTACTTGCTATTTTGCGTTCATCTAAAAGGTGTCAAACTCAAGGCTTGGGGGGCAAATCTCCAAAGGAACAATGAATACAATATTCAACTGATCAAGATTATTTTTTGAAGTTAAATCAAAGCGGCTTCAACAGATTCCCTCACACTTTTGCACACCAATTCATAATTGGGAGTTTGTCGCAAACTTTCTCCAAAAACAGTGAAAAACATCGAGTTTAAGCGACGCTCACTCCATTCTGCAGGTGGCAGTGTTTCTTACTTCTACTACACTGATGTCAGTGTAGTCAGATTATAGTTTTGGCTAGATGTGGAGAGCAACAAAAAGACAGATTTACCACATAAATAAGTATAAATATCGCAGAATTCCTTGCCAATATTTCTAAAGTAATGCCACAAAAAAAACTGCGGTTTGGATCACAAAAACATTTGAGAAATTATAGAAAAAATGCTCTTTTTGTAGCCCAAAATGAAAATAAGTTTGACACCCTTGATCTACATCAATACATTAATGCCAAAATTTGGATGTTCCAAGGAGTTTGAATACTTTTGAACAGCACTACACTTTTAGGGCTGCACTTAATGAGCTCAGAGGCTGAAAAAATGCTGCTCTGTTCCAAAAGATGTTTTCTTCATCGCAAATAAGCCCCTTTGGTTAAAATTGGTTACTCTTCTCCCGGAGAGTACGTGCCCCTCGGAGTGACATCAAAGCAACAGGATTAGGTGTTCATTACGGGGAAAGAAGCTCCGCTCTCATCACATCTGAGATCTCTGGGGTTTCACATCCAGACAGAGATGAAAACAGATTTTTGAACTTTCCACTACAAGTGATTTTGGGTTCAGTGTTGTTTGAAAAATGATGCCGCATGTTTTTGTAGGATTGAGAGTTAAAGGGCACTGAATAAATCAGTCCCACCAGGAATGATTAACACATTCACAATGTAGAAACACGATTAATGGAAGTTTACAAACTGTAAACTTGCTACAAAATCTATCTAGTTGATAAACCATTACGTCAGACCAAACTTAGATATTTTAAGTTCTCTATGGAAATTCTCTGAAACTATTTTTCCTCTAGAAAGAAAAATTAATGATTCTGATAAACATGGCCGTTGGTCCGAGTCCTAAATCAGCACTATGCTCTTTTTCTCAAATATATCATGTCATTTTTGATCTTGTGGTACTTTTAGTTGGCTGCCCACTCATGGGAAAGTTCAACATTTCTTCAGAATGGGTCATAATATGTTGCAATTTCTGATCTTATCATACCTTTGTCTCTAGTCTGTTTGGTTTGAGCCAAATTGGATGAGTCTCCATTGGCAACGTGTGCCAGTAGTTTATCTTGGTATATTTGGTTGTGCGGGTTTCCCCTCTCAGTTGACGCTGCATTTGATCTTCCACAAGTATCGCAGTCGTTCATTCAGTGACATAAATCCACAGGACAATCGACGACTGCTGCCAATAAATTTGTTTGGCTTGGTTCCAAACAATGGGGAGGAACTGCACAGGATGTGCAAACGGGGACAAATTTGTCCAGGGTGATTGGGACAAACACCTGATTGGGCTTTAGCCTACTTCATGTTGTCAGCCGGGTCCTAGTCAAAAATATCTCTTTAAAAACAGAAGAAATCTGTAAGAGGGCGAATACGTTTTCACAGTTCTGCATATTCTATTTAAGTTAAATAAATCTGAAATCTAATCTAGCCAGGTTGTATTTAGTTCCAGTATAAATCAAACAGACTCACATGTTGTGGCTGAAATCATTATTAATGTCTTGACTGGAATTAAGGTGAATAAAATATCTCTTGTATGGCATATGTAGGATCTTAGTGACAAGTTATTTATTATGACTTACGCCTTTCTTTTTTCAAAGCAAGGCGATGACATTTCAAGTCAGCATTTTCACCCGATTTCCTGTAAATCGGGTGAAAATGCGAGTGAAAATCCACTCAGTCTAATCGAGTTAGATTATGTCTCTTTTTCCTCAGAGTGAAATACAAATCAGAATTTAACTCCAGTGGGATAAACATCAATCAGTAACGGAGATGAAAGAGAAGACTTGACTTGAGCTGCATGCCAGTCATCCTGATTGGCAGCTGGCTCGGAGGGCTGGCGGTGAGGAGGAGGAGCAGGAGCCAAAGGTTCAACGCTGGCTCCGTTCTCAGCACCTGGCACCTCCATTGAAGGAATCACAGGACTCCCACTGGCTTAACAGTTCCTTTATACCATCAATAAAACAATCAGAGTTCTAATTAGGTGGTTGTTATTTTACATAAACATTTCTGGAGACTTTTAAACCTTTGAATATAATATACAAACCAGACAGATTTTTCACAGATTTGGGGTATTTCATGAGATATATCATCACAAACTTGTGCATAATTATTTTCATAAAAGATTGACGAGGAGTCAAATTCAGGCAGGAGATAGGCAGTAAAAGTATTTCTTTTTTCTCTCTTTCCACCAAAAACTGCATAAAAGTCTTCAGTTTGGTGCTTTGGTTTCAACTAGCCCTTTTTTTGACAGGCAATATTGTTTACAAAGACTTCAAAATTCATTTTATTTGTTGTTGTTTTATTTTTATTTTGGATTTTTCAAATTTCTTCCAGTTCCAGTGTTAAATATTTATTAGAATTTAATGTTTACTGATCTTTGAGAATAACTTATTATTTCGCCATAACCATAATATCATCTAAAAATGGTCTCAAAACAACAATATTATTGTTTATCGGAATAACTTCTGGAACAATTTATTGTCCAGCAAAGCTTGTTATCCTGACAGGCCGAGGCAGTAACATGATGATGGGTGAGAAAAACCTACCGGCTTAAATCCAACAAGCCGATATTTTAAAAAATGGCTGATAAACAGACATTCTCTGTCCAATCTGACTGAGTCTGAACAATTTTACAAAGAAGACGGGGTTAAAGTCTGTAAACGTGCAAAGCCAGGAGATGTGCCCTGTAAAATGGAAAATCATGTACATTTCTTTCTCCTTCACATTTATCCACTGATTTCTTTGTCAATTTGCTGAAATCCCTATAATTACACAAAATATAGAAAACCAACTCATTTCAATAATGACCGACAGAGCCAACAAGGAGGGTAAATTAACGTAGAGTCACTAATGAGGCGACCTGCAGATAATCACAGGCTGTAATTCACTAACTACACACACAGCTTGAGTCTTACTGCAATAAGCAGCAACACAGTTATTTAGCTCACGTTTAAAAACAGGCCATCAAATCAAATCAGTTCACATGACATTCAATCTGTAAGGATCAAAACACAAAGTAGAAACGGGTCATTATTGTCTGATTTTACCCTTTAACTTTAAAGACCCATGCATATTTTAAAACCACATATATACAACCAGGTTATTATAACTTCATATTTATATTTTTATTTTTAAATTGTTACTTTTTCTTGTCCATGGGGACCATTTTCTCTTCTTGTTTGAAGCTTAAATGCTGAATTTAAGCTTAGTGCAGAAAGTGACATTAGGTACTACCATTATTTAACTTTTTTTAACTCCATCTGTTTTCTAACAATCAGCTAACCCGTTTTATAGATTTCTTTGGAAGTGAAGTGAAGATGCTTCACAGGAGGAGTTAATTTTTGCCCTCTTATGTAAATTGTGACCCCTGAACTGGGCTTTTACTCTGCTGTCCAAGTTGCCAAAACCAAACAAGCGGCACAGTCTCTTCAAATCTGACGAGCAATAAAGCTTTCACTTCTCAAAAGCCTGGGGCTGCAAATACGTCTCCAGAGAGGTAAAGGTCAGAGTAATGCTAAGTAAAAGCGTCACGATTAAGAGATGAAGATGAATTATGTTTTGACAGCTTAAAAGAGGCAATCTATCCTCGAGAGGAGGAGACATTAATCAGCCATAACTGGAAGAGGAAACAATAATTACTTGTTCATCTTGGTTCCAAAATCTGTTTTGGTTTTATCTCGGCTTCTCTACATTGATCAAAATCTAAATATAGCCAAATGGGAACATTACAAAGATGCACTGGGCAGTCTGCGGATGTAGAGTCAAAATAACTAGGGGTGTAGAAGCCCTGAATAAACTAAATCTTTTTGTTTTTTGGCACAGAAATAGTCTCAAGAGGAATCACCTAAGTAAAAATAACATCCAGAAGTTGTAGATGTAGCAGCTGATCCTCAGAGGAGGAGGAACTAAGAGCAAGAAAAATATGCAGTAAAATATATTTTTAAAAAATGACAAAACTACTGAAGAAGTAACGTGAAAAAAAAGAAGTAGCTGGAGGCACCATTTATAACTTTTGATTCACCTTTTCCTGACCACTTCCGGTGATTCCTCAGTGATTTTTTGTACCGTAAACTTTATTGGATTTAAAGCAAAATGGTCTGTGGATGATTGCGCTTCAGTTCCACTTTAAATACTGAGAAGGAATAACAACAGGTAAAATCACAGATTTTTTATCTTTTCTCTTTTTTATCAACTTATTTTATTGTGTTATTTTTGTACAGCACTTTGGTGAAGTTTAAAGACTCGCTTTTCAAAACAGTCTAGAAATAATTTTTTTGGAAATTATTTCTAGTACAAGTTGTACTTTTTACTTTTACCTGAGTAATATTATTATGATGAAGTATCACCACTTACTCTAAATAAAAGAGGTATTTTCTGAAAAATGTATGCCGTTTTTAGCTTTTCTTAAACTTTAAAGTTTCTTTTCATTCCATTTTTTTTTTTCAAATTTAGGAAAAACTTTTTGGTGTCATTTTTTTCCAGTAATATTCCCAGATATTGAATGAAACAAGTTACCATTTCTTACTGCAGCAAATCTAAATAATATCCTCACTTTCTGATCCTCTCTCTTCATGGCTTCCAACCTAAAATCCCCATTTTCATCCATGTCTCACTAAAACCTTCTTCTGGCTTTAGAAATTCATCAATTTACGACTCGCTGCTGCAGAAATATACGCGTGGAGCTTTGTTCTGGCATTCAAAGTCCATTTATAGAAATCAGTCAGGTTTTTTTCCCTGACACTCCAGCTAACCGTGAAATTCTGAGCGTTCAGTGCAAATGAATGACATTAACTGAGAGAAAACGCCATACCCTGAAAGTTTTTCAAGTCTCCATCAGCGCTGTCTGCCAGGCGGCCGCCGTATCTGAAGCCAGAAGAGAAATATTTCATTAGTTTTCTATTATTGGACGTTTTTCTTTATAATTAAACTCTACTTATAATGTAAATTAGCCCTTGTTCTTTTTTTGTTTTCCCTTCACAGCCAAAATGGATGTGTTATTTTCTGTTTTTCCTCGAAATAAAGTAAACCTTTTCATTCAGTTATTCACAGGCGGCTTTGGAAAGCTCCCCAACAGCTGAATGATGAGTTAATCTCATTCCTTTTTCTGCCTTTAAACACTGATTTATTCATGAGAGCTTCTCAGAAAAGAGGAATACTTCAAATGACGCCAAAAGACAGCGGTTTTCTGGGCTCACATAGCTGCCAATAGCTTCTCCCTCAAGGTGGAAATAAAGTAATTTACAGATTTTTGTGAAATAGATTTCCTGAACCTCAATACATTTGGTTAACTGACATCGTGCTGCCTCAGACTGCTTTCTTTTCTTTCTTTTGATACTGATGTCATTGGAAAAGCTCTCCTAATATGAAATATATTCAGGAAAGTACAACAAAAACTTCCTGTTTTAAATATTTAGCTGTTACAAAATTTAGACCATTAATTTCATCTTTTCCCCCATTGAATTTGTAATTAGATTCTTGGTCTTTATTTCCTGTTGGGTTGAATATTGTGATCATTTAAGAGTGGATATAGATCTGTTTTTCTGCAGAAGGTACATAATCAAATTGTTGGCTTTTATCAGGAAAAATGAGTAATCATATAAAACCAATGCTGGCTGCAGTCCACTGACTTCCTGTTCATCACAGGATTGGTTTTTAACATTTTTCCTGTTTTTTAAGATAATTTATTATCGGTTTATACCATTAAACTGACACTGACGAGTAGAAGCTCTAGGATGTTCCAGGACTGGTGACAGGAAACATAACGCTTTCTCTGGGTCTGACTAAATCTTTGGACCGTAAAAAATCTGACACTAGAGGAACATCTAAAATCGCTGAAATTTAGTTTGATTTGTACCAACAACACATTCTGACAAAACCAGTCTGGCATTCCTGAACTGGATCTCAAGTGGGTATAAAAGATTGAATCTGTAAAGTCACTTCTTTTAGTCCTACCTCAAACTTAAAAACTCAATCGTTTGACCATGAAGGAGCCAAAAGGAAGTCCAGCTGGCTAATTTTCAGTCTTTGTTAATTATTTTTATTTAAACTACACTTAGAGACCGTTATCAGCTTGACCAGTTCTCTTCCTCAGTGAAACACATACTAAAAACTAAAAGAAAGATGTGTAAAAAATAAATTAAATGACTGCAAAATTTTGGATTATTCTGATCATAAATCACTAACATGTTCCAATCTCTGTAGTTGTTGCACACAGGAAGATAATTGGTGGAGCATAACCTCATATTTCAATTTCCTGCATTATTAATCATGTTTTATGGTAATAAAATACCCAAAGAAAATATGATGATGGAATAATAACTTGAAATAGTTTAAACATTGAGGTTCTTGCAACTGGACTTGTTTTAAGATGATTGGAGTCAGCTTTGGTTGTTGCTCCTCTTGGACGACATCATGACCAACTAATTGAGTCGGAAATCTCAGGAAAATAACCTTTTAAAATAATTCAGCCTTGAACTTTAATTTGAAGTGAATGTACATACACAATATTGTTTATTCCCATCCAAACTGGAGCTTTGTTCTTGTCTCTTTTTTCCTCAGCAAACACTCGACACCGGTCTGAGTGCTTCAACAATTCCCTAATTACAATCAGTTTGTGTGTTTTTCTTTTCTAAAGTGCATGCACGTCCTATTGCGACCGACGATCAGCTCCCTCTCTCCTTAAAAATAAGCACAGATTTTCAATGTGAATTTGTATTTATAAACTCTAAAAAATTTTATGAAGTCAATTTATTAAAAGTTACTTTGGAGTCATTTCATGGCCTTTTTTATAACCTCTATTTATTGGAATGGTTTTTCTTGCGCGCCTCTGAGGTCTGCCAGGCTGTAAGTGGCTTTGGGTGAGCGCCGACTGTTCAGATGTTGAATTATACGAGCCTCAATAAGTATATCTCAACCAAAAGTTATTATTCCCACCTCCAACTTATGCTTAAAAATCAATGGCAGAAAATGAGAACGACTGACAGCTTGCTATTCTCTAATGCTAACATAATTTCAGTGAACGACCTGCCTGGATCCAGGCTGTTGAATACAACAACAGAAAACTCACTGTATATTGACTCAGTAATTTACTGACTCAATTTGTCTATAAAGGCATTATAATATTCTTTTCCTGCCATTACTAATCCATGTTGGCATTGGAGGTTATCTACGGAAGGAAATAAAACAAAAGCAGAACTCCTACACTGCAGAAAGTGAGAGTTATAAAGGAAATATTCCTCTGCGATAAGTCCCTGTCAGCTGAACTATCCAGCTCACTGTTTATGAATAATTCACACAGAGACAACCAGTATAAAGGAAGCTGCAGAAGAATTGCACAGACTGATATTTGCAAAGCTACTGGTGCAGCGAGAATGAACCAGCTCACCAAGCGGTTCTTTTTCAGATTCTCTGACTAAAATCAGAAGAAAAAAATGTTTTTGACATTTCAGGACTTCCACAAGTCATTGTGTCCAATTTCCAGATGTTTGGTGGTGTCTCGTTCATCCATTTAAACAATTAGATTAAAATATAACCACCAGGAAAAAGTCCAGCCATCATACATGTCTAAAAAGAACCAAACGATGAAAATGTGTTGGTGCAAAATGTTCATATTTACCCCAAAATTAACCTCTGAAGATGCTGGTGAAAGCTGGTAGCAGGATGTTGTCAATCGAACAAGTTATGGCCTGAAGCGGGGTTCCTTGAGGAAGAAGCCATTACTCTGAAAACAACAGAAAAAGACAGATTACAGATTGAAATTGCATTTAAGGACAAAGACCTTAACTTCTGGAGTAAAGTTGCATAATATATTACATTTATGGCAATAATCATAACACAAAGGAACAAGCAACAATTATTAGCTCATATATTCCAAGTGCTATGAACTTTAAATGTTTAAAGTTCACAGAAAATTTGAAAATATCATTTGATAATTATGCATTATATACCGGAACACCTACTAAAAAGTCTTTAAAAATGCAAACATAAAAAAAAACTAAAATAAATAAGCAATGCTAAGCCTGGTGCAATTATTCAATTTGAATAATTTGCAATAAGCAAATTATTCAAATTGAATAATTTGCTTATTGCTTATGATACAATAAGCAAATTATTCAATAAGCCAAGAAGTTAAACCACAAAATAAAAATTGGGAAAACGATAACACTAAGTATAAAACCAAATTACAAAATAGTTTAAGGACAGCTGATGTGATGTTTGGATCTCAGTCGCATAAAAATAAAAAATAAAAAATCATAGATCTCAGTATAAAAGCAAACTACCGAGGGAACCTTATGGTGGAACACCTATAAAAACAACAACTCAAAAACGATTCTCAGACAACTAAATCAACATAACGTATTCATATTTCTCAAAAATTGCAAAGCAAATAGATGAAGAGGGAGCCAACACAACCTCCACACTGACAGTAATCCTCTGGGAATTAATCCCAGCCTACATTTATTACTAATTTAATCGGTGAGTAGGCCTGCACCAAAGGACAATGCAACTATAACTGATGGGATAACGGTATTCTAAAGGTTTCTAAATTAGTCGCTCCAAGTCCGCTTCAGAGGTGTGAAGCAACTTAACTAAGATGGAAAGTTGGGAAAACAAGACAACTGCTGCAGAGATGTGGAGGTAATCACTGCTGCAGTGGCTATTTCCTCAGGTGACACTGCAATCAAGCTCAGAAAAACACTCAGCAAACTGCACGACATTTCACATTACCAATGTATATATAGATCCAATTCCAACAAAGAAATTAAATGCCTTGAATTGGACGTAGGTAACATTTCCGACCATGTATTTCCACTGATATGTAGGAAAATGTTATATAAAGCCTTTATTCATAGGTACTGCAGTTTTCATTTATTTCTCTATGTGTCAAACCGTGTTGCCTTTCTGACTTCCTGCAAAGGGCAAACAGTTAAAACCGTCAGTGTTTCAAGACAGAGTCATCAAATGTCGTCCTGGCACCTTGTAAAATGAACAAAAAATGTTCTTGGAAGCGTATTTCAGCACACAAAGTGAAATTCAGAGACAGCAAAGCATAAACACACATTGTGTTAAAAGAAAATCCCAGGATAACAACTAAAGTAGCAGCAAAGCAGAAATCAACAAATTGCTTTTGAAACATTTTGTTGAAAGATCAGTAAGGCGGAAAATCAGAAAAATAAACTTTAACTCTATTAGTATTTTCCTGGCCCTGACAGTGAAGCATAAAGTGTGTTTCTATAAACTCTAACTTCTAGGTAATCAAACCAACTTGATCTATTTCTGTAACATTTTTTTCTGAGCAAATGCACAGAATATAATTTTTTTTAAATGTACAACACCACACAAAATGTTCACATAGCTTTTTTCCTTTTCGTCACATCAAATGATCCATTTTATTGGATTTTTTTGTAACAGACCCAAAAAGCAAGAAAAATGACAAAAATATCTGCAGAATTAAATCTTACTCCGCCCCTAAATAGAAGCTGGAAATGACAGAAAGGTTTTATAATTTTTTCTTCCACAAACAGATTGAAAGTTTACGATTAATTACATTTATGTGTCTTTAAAATCCTTATTTTGTGCCTTTTTTAATCTGTGAGTGAAAATTTGCAAAACTAAATGAATAATAAGTGATTAAAAAAGAAGTAATCTGAAACTGAAGACATAAATACTACAAAAGTATTTACCCGTTTATACTTTGGAGACGTTAGATGTTTTTTTTTTAGGGTTTTAGAGAAAAAGATCTGCAAGACTTAAAAATCCAAAACCATGTTTAATTTATTTTCCTCTCAATAATTATAAACAGTGTTTTTGTTGCATAAAACCCTCAAAACAAAACAAAATAAGTTTTAAATATAAATATTAGAGTCATTATAGATAACAAAAAAATAAAGGAGCAATTTTCCACCAAAGAAATTATACATTTTCAGATTAATCTCAGAAAATGTCCTAAAAAATGAGGAAGTTTCTGAATTTGAGAAGTTGAAAATTAGCAACAAAAAAAACTCATTAGTTTTTCTAATGAAAAAAGAAAAAAAAAATTTTCAGGTTTAAGAAGTCAAAATTTTTTAACATTCTAGAAAATTTCTGAGCTTAATCTCAAAATTTCTGTTTTTTCAAACAAATGTTTGACTTTTCAAACTCAGAAATTTCAAATTGGTTTTTCTAGAAAATTACTGAGGTCTTCCATGAAATGTTTTTGTCATAATGCGAGGTTTCCAGGACTCTAAGGCAAGCAACAACTACAGACACAGTTTTAATCATTTTATTCGACAGTGAAATGTGTGGAGGGACGTCGATCTGCGACAGCAGGGAGGAACCAGGTCAGCGGAGGAACTGAAAAACTGAGCGGTTAAAGAGGAAATAATGACGGATAACCTGATGGTGGCTTACAGTCGCCGGGTTGAGGTAGGCAGAGGGGAGTCCTTGGGAGTTCCAGCAGTTGGCGTGATGTTGTGGAGACTGAGGGCGGACAGGCAGCAGCTGAGTGGCAGGTGTGATGTACCCAGGTGCAAGGCCCAACGGAGCAGCGAGAATCAGATCGTCCAGGTGAGTCTGACTCAGAGAGTTCAGCGCAGGTTCACTAGAGGAAGGAGTAGATGAAAAAGAGTCAGAATACAGAGAACACTGGCAATACAGCGCTAATAGCTACAGAGAACCACTGCAGAAGAAGAACTATCTGGCATTTAATTCAGGGAAGCTGCTCCTCTTTAAGGACCTTGCAGATTTGTGGTGATGAGTAACAGCTGGATGCCATCGGCCTGCCACCCTGTGAAGGAGAAGAAAACCACTCCCCTGCAAAACTCAACAGATTTACTTTTCCAAGTTTTCTTCCAGAACATTTCTGAGGTTTTTGGAGAAAATTTTGTTTCTACAATGGCCCTGATACAATATTGTAGACTTTAATTTAGAAAACTGAAAAAAATTATTATTCAGTGATTTATGAAGTAAATACCATTTATATAGGAATATCAGAATAAAAAAATACATAAAAGTTTGTCAAAATGCAGAAGTAGTGAGAACAATCTGCAACTAACTGTGTATCTGTGAATGTAAAAGCATTTTTGGACAAAATAAGTTCCTTAGCCTGGTTCTATACACACCTCCTGTAATTAACGTCAGCATAACAAACATGAAGATAACTGCATTGCTTGCCTCAGTCCTGGTGAGGAGCAACATTTTGCTGCTTTGTATTTCTGTCAGCCACAAGGAATGTTAAAGCAGGATTGGTTCTACAGTAAAAACTGAACCGCATGTTAGCTTCTTCTATCAAAAGGCACGGAAATGATGGAAGGATCCCATTGTGTGGTCAGGAAATTAAAAGCTAAGCACCATTTAGAAGTTCGTTCAGAAAGCTGCATGGTATATCTGCACTACATTTTGCTGGATCAAATAAAGAAAACATTAATTTTGTACAAGATTTTTTTCGTTCAGCAGGAGTTTCTAGAAAAATATGTATATTCCAGCAGCTGTGCAAAGGTCTTCCAGTCTCGGAAGAAAGACCCCATGAGAAGGGAAATGTCAGGTTAGTTGAAATGTGGTTCAGAGAAAGAGAGAGAAAAAAAACATGAGTGGGAGTAGTGTTAGTGCTGCTATGGCAGACTGGATGAAATGGCAAAGGAACAAGCAGGGATGTTGGAGTCAAACCTGCAGCTGGAGTCGTTTCCAGCTGTTTGGGGCTCGGAAAGCTGTCTGAACACAGTCAAGAGGAACCAGGTTTTTCTGTTCATATGACCTTTTGTTGGTCTCATGTATAAATATTTACTGTCTCCGCTTTGAATTGACAGTTATAACACTGTAGATACCTTACATGGAGACACACTGCCCCCTGTGGACACAATTTATACCGTACAGCAGTGTTTTCATTCACTAAAATACATTTTAGACAGATTTTACGCATCCTGTGGTTACAAAAGATCACAAATATTATTGTTAGTGAGACAAGTGAATCAGGGATTCGAGATGGAGACTTTATTTTTTATATTTATTGAGTTTTTTATCAATGAGCCACTTTTACCTGGTTTTATAATTGTATAATTATATACATGCCGCTTGAATCTTCCAAATGGATTATCGCGACAAAATTCAAGTAATGAAAATCCTTTTACAGCAAATATAAAACATTAATACTGGAAATACAATTCACAGAAAAGCTACTTGTATGTAACAATCAATGCAAAGGTCTAACTAAACCTAGGGCGATGCTGCCCCCTGCTGGTAAATGATCAAAACTAGCTGTATCTTTTTAGAGCAAGGTACAAATAAATGAATACATTTATTATCATTATTGTCTGGTGAATATTTCATAAAAATTATTGATTGTTTATTTAAGTTTCACATTGAAAGAAGTTGATTTGGAAAACTTTTATTTTGCCTGACGGTGTTATTTTTTTCTACCTAGATGAACTACTGTCGTTTTGGCCCTTAAAATACCAACATTTCCACTGACACAGGTGACTCAGTGTGTTCGTTAGGGAAATGTTTTACCTCAACATTTACCATGTTGAGGTAAAACTCCCCAATTAAATTAATAATGAAGTGTCTACACATAAAATTATGTTATAACGGAAAACATATTTCCCAGAAAAACACCAACAACATGCTAATGTCGTCTTGAAAAATACCCAAAATTACTACTAATAAGAACACATACCGGTTATGTTGACTATCGCCTGCTCTGTCTCGGTTTTGTGACTCATTCTTCTCCAGTTGTGTCCGAACAGCAGCATTATAATTCTTTTAATGACTCCAGGTGTGCCTCCGAATAAAATCCTTATTCCTTCCCGCCAGAACTTTTATGTGGAACGCCATGAAGCTGCCATAGCAACAGTTGAGTTATCTTCCGGTTGAATGCTGCCCCCCAGTGGCGGCCTTTGGTATTGTTTAGCTTCCTTCTCGCTGTTAGTTTAAATTGTGTTGGTCATTTCTTCAAAAGAAGGGCACTAACTATTTAGCTAGCGGCAAAACTCCTTTTGTTTTATCAAAAATAAACGGAATATTGAAAATTATTAAAATAATAGTGAAATGAGTGCTTTAAATTTAAAAGATTAAAGTCGGAATCGCAGCGCCCCGGGAATACCGGAAGTAGCCATTAGCATTAGCCGAGTTACAATATGTCATTTCCTTCAGTGATTTATTTTAATTGAATTATGTTTTACTGGAAAGCTACAAGACCACTGAAAATAATATAATTTGACTTCTTTCTCAGAATTCTGACTTAAATTATGAGAATTATAAATTTTTTCTCAGCATTCTGTTGACCTTTGAAGATTACAGTCAGAATTATGAGAAAAAAAATTCTTCCATAATAAGGACCTTTCCAACAAGGCAATATAAATCTGTAGTAACATCTTTTTAATGCACAAATAAATGGACCTCCCTCCTGTGCTGGCACAAATTAAGCATCCCATTTCACTGCTAAGCTACTGTTATTATTCCCCAGAAGGTGGTAATATAAAGAACACAGTCAGTTTTTTTCATTCCTGCAGCCGTTAAACAGTTGATGCCGAAGGCCACTTCTCTTATTGATGGGTTTCACTGTTTAATATTTCACTCCACTCTTAAACCGTCTGTCTTCTCTGTACAGAATACAGACTTTGCTGTTCTCAAAGAGCGTCTTTTTGCTTTAGCACAGCAGCAAAGACGCAGCTTCTTAGGTCAAGGCACAGCTGTCTGCTTGTATCTAAAGGAAAAGGAAATGTCTTTAAACCAGACACACTTCTAAAGGCCAGCATGAGGCATTTCATGCTGTTGCAAGAATTCAGTTTGAGGGAAATTACTATTTCACTTGTGAATATCATCCCTGGAGAGTTTATTCTGTGATTACTTGGTAAATAGGCTTTCAAAAAACCTAGAAGGGGCCAAATTCACAACATCCAAAATAGTCGTCGTTGGGATTTTCATCTTTTATGTGGGTATAGATTTTCCTCAGCAGCTCTGGAAAGCAGAAGATGCCGGCGATGATTAATTAAAAGATCAATAAAGATGAATACAATACAACAAAAACAATAAAAAATAGAATTGAAGTTAAAAAAAAGAAAGAAATACAGTGTAGTTACTATTTTTTCCAGTTTTTTCAAATCCTCAAAAGTCAAACTGACTTTTGAGGATTTTCTTTAACCATATATCAGCTCTACCTGTAACATACATATATACTTTGTCAAAACTCTCTCTGCAAGAGCAAAGAGTGGAATATTTCCGATGCCAATCAGGTAAAACAAAACATTAATTGCTTAAATTCTGCAAACAGTTTTCTGCACTCTTACAATTAAACATAGCAATCAAAATTGTTGGAGAAAGTAGAAAATGATGTATCTTGAGTGTAAGTTTTGAAATACAATGTGTCTCAATGAGATTCACCCGTATAAGTAAATGTATTTAAATACAAATATATCCAATGTAATGGCTTTAACATTTTTTACCAAACACTTTGACCTGTCCGATATTAAAAAGACACAAACACAAGTCATGTTTAACATAATTTATATTTATTTTCCTTTGAACAAAATGTTAATAAATGTATTTGTTTCACGTCCAAAAAAGGTCATGACTTGTGGGACGCATTTTTATAAATAATTTTCATCCAAGTCTTTTGTAGAAAAAAAAAGAAAGTAAAATAGCAAACTAAAGCATCTCTAGTATGACAATATGACAACTTTTATCATATTTTTTCTCTATATTTAAACCTTTTCTCATTTCAAGCTTTGTCTTTTTCATATATATATATATTTATATATATCTATATATTCTTAAAGACCTCTTTATGTCAACCCTTTAAACATCCAACTTTGTCCTACTCATCAACTCACACCACTGCTTTAGACAACAGAAAAATGTGGCAAAAATCTCAAAAAACAGACAAAAACCGAGGAGCCGAACAGAAAACACAGAGATTCCAGCGGGTGGGGGAGGGAGGGACCAGGAAAGGCAGGAAGGGGCGACTTTTAGGGGATTCCACATCCTCAGGACATATTTACAACAGAAAGGACTAGAGGAGGCGAAGGACAGTGGCTGGGGAGATTTGAGGCGGGGGGTTCATCTGCATAGATCCACAGGACTCAGTCAGCTAATGATTAAGGGGGCAGAGCCAAATATATGGGAGCAGCCAAACATGTGGGTGGAGAATGTCTTCTCTCATCTGGGAGGCCTTAAAAGAAGGGTCAAGGGTCGTCCAACTGGGCCAGATTGTTATCTGATGCCAAGTAGCTCATACAATGTTTCCACTGCTAAAAGTATTAGGACAGATCAGCCATTATTAGAAAGCAACCATGTTATTTATGCAATATTTTCTCAGTGACTCGGATTTGGAGAAATGTCTTGTTTTTGTCCTTTCGCTAGTAAAAAAAAAAGGGGGGAAAAGATGATTGACTAGAAGGCGCCATTTGAAAATCAGAAAACAGCATAAAAGTGGATGGATCAGCCCTTTAAAAACTCTTCACACTCCTTGCACACTGACTCTTTGCTCGTCAGATAAAGAATATAACTGATCAACTGGGGTGATTTTCAGAGTAGGTAGTTTGATTGACTGACTTGTACAAACTCTGAGATCCTGAAAAGCCAAACTGACCGCAGGAGAACTTGTCTAGAAGAAGAAGCTAACCCTGAAGTGTTTCGATTTCACCACTTTCTCCCGCTTTGATGCATCATTCGGCCAAAAGTCACCTAAAGATCCGGGAGCCTCATTCGCCAAGTAAAACATTTGCGGCCATCTAGAGCAGCCAGAAACCTCCTGAGTTCCAGTTCTCCACAAGAAGACTCAAAGAAGTTCCCACGCAGGTTTCACTGCCACTTATTTAGAGGCAAATAGGTTGGTTCCTCACCCCTGTGTACTTAACCCCCTGCACAATGTCAACGGAAACTTTTGGGAGATGCTACAATTTAAATGGGAGTACCTTCAAACTGTTGGGTGTTGAACTGAATTGGTCTCTTGACTAAAAAAGCACACCAGGACACATATACACTATGTTCTTTCTGGTTGCTAATTGGGTACATTGTAAAGAAAAACTCTGAAGTGAAGGGATTCAAATCGATGCAGAGCCCCAGAAAGACTTAAGTGAATGTCTGGATAATTACATTTTTCTTGATATTAATAATCTAGTCACCTTAAGATAGTTAGCCCAGTTCACCAAACAACCCATTCAAATCAAAGTATCTGCTTCCCCCAAAAGTGGGCGTGACCATTCAAGGGTGAAGGACATAAGGTGAGGTTGAACCTACCCACCAACACAAAGAAGCATTGAACTGACTGGATTGTCTGGATCAGTAGAAGTTCAGTTTAGCATTTTTTGCTTACATACCAAGGGCACCATGGTAAGGTTTCTGTACTGGAGTAGGAATACAAATCTGTTCTATGAAAGCAGTTCCTCAGAAATGAACTACCTCAACTAGCTCTAAGAGTTTTCCACTCTATATTGTCTCTTTGTTGCTAGTTCTTGCTTAGCACCAGTTCTTTGTATTTCCACCATCTCAACCTCTAGTACGAGTACAGATGTGGTGTTTCTTTGGGCACTTTTTGTTTAGCCTGAACCCTTTTCCAAACATCTGAACTAAATGAGTGAACTCTGGTCTGCCTTAAAGGTCAAACCTCCATTACATGCAGTTAACTTCCAGGTTCCTGGATTAGCAGGTTTTGCTGATATTATTGGGTGATACATTATATGATTGGTTTTCATATTTAACTGTTTTCCATAATAAAACAAAATGTTTATATCTGTATTTGGATATTATGCAGTTAGCATAATCCTCGCATGGGGAAAAAAGTTTTGTGCTCGAGGGTCACACATTTTCTTTTGTCCTTGTTTTTGTTTCTCTATTAACTTTTGTGCTTCGGAACTGAAACAACTGCACCATCTATGGGCAGCAAAACGTGCCACCAATCTGGTTAAAAAGTCGTCCAAACACATGCAAGGTTATGGCTGCTTTTTGCACAGTTTTAACCCTCTCAGGCTCAAATTACTTGCAAAGACTAGCTAAGTAGCATTGAGCTGCTGCAAATCTGCAGCATCTGCCTGGAGAGGGTTTAAACCACTTGCCAAAATTACGGTTTTGATTTTGGCAGTTTTTTATGCATGACTTTCCATCCTCCTACCATGACATGTGCTTCGTTGTTCAAGCATCGAGCTGAGAAGCTTGCAGGGTTATCTCCGAGTAAAATCCTATAATCCCCATGTAAAGTTTTTAAACTATTGTGGATAATCTAATCAAAGGTAGAAATTTGAGTTTCTATCTAAAGAATTAAGATTATGATCCTGCAAACTGTTTTGATCTATTTCATTGAGGTGTTTTAAATAAAACCTTGTAAAGTGAAAGCAGTGGGGAATTCTTGTAAAAATAAAGTGAAATTTTAGAAAACAACATTTTAGAGTTAACCATTTATCACAATACATCTTTCACTTTGACTCAGCTGTCTTGTTGCACCTTAATTTAAGTTTATTTATTGTGGTTATTATTGTATGTAAAGAGAGGCACTTTATTAATTGAGGCATGAAGTAATTTCTTACTAAATTAGAGCGCTTGCTGGTAAGAATTACAGCGGTGTGGGGTCACAGGAAAAAAGCTGCAGGCAATAAATGCCTTTTCTTATGCTTGGAAGTTGAGAGGAAATGTTTACAACTTTGCCTCCTGCTGTTTATTTTGATATCACCCTCTGCTATGTTCTAATAAGTCCCAGCTGTGTTTTATTATAGTCAACTTTTAATAACTAAGATGGGGATACTGAGATAAAGAGTAAAAGTTGTTTTCTGGTTGTGGAAATCCAAACTGGACCAGTTAAGAAGTGGTTAAACAGTGGAACCGATTGGTGGGAAAAGCCTATTTATGGAGACAGGTTCATGGTTGATGAGTGAGGCTCCCTGTGTTCTGGCCTTTTCCAACTCCAGCATTCTCCCACACAAACAATTTAACCAGTAAGACTAGCCACTGTGGTGTAAGGTGAACTAAACACTTAGAACAAGCGGCGTCCCGTCAAAGACTAAAAGGAAAACATTAAAGAAAACGCCTCAGACAGTTGCAGTATCACCAACCTTTCCACTTGACTCCCAACTTATCCAACTGCAGAACAAGTCAGAGGAGGAAGCGAGTCTCAGAGCACTTAAGGTCCTAAAATGCTTAGGCATGTGCCGTTGTAAGGGGTTCACAAAAGATCCAGTAGAAAAAAAACAACATAAGCTCGACAACGGAACACAGAAGAACCACATTTCTGAGGGAAAGCATGATCCACAACTAAAGGATGAGCTGATGCCAACAGGCCCTTGAGCAACAACACGTACGGCGCACCAATGGAGATGAGGGATTGAGAGAAGAACAGAGCGGAAATGTCAAAGTAATCTGACACCCAGGGTGAAAAAGTGCAGCAAAAATCTAAAGGTAACGATGAGCTGGAATGCACACGTCGTCAATGTCCATTTCACCCATCCAGACACTGAAACCGGAGGACAGGAAAGGCAGGAGGGGAAGGAAAACAGGGACGATATGCTAGAAAACATGTGGATGAGATAGAAACAATGAGCAGGTTCCTAGTGGCAAGAGGTCAGTTCTTCGTAGGGCGTGGTCCCCGAACATCTCGATTGGGTCGATATCCAGCCCAGTGATCTCCAGGTCGAGCCCTCCCGCGTTGTGTGATTGATGCTTCGTTTGGCAGCAGATCGCGGTGACATCTCTGGCACGTCTTGCCAGATTCGTCCCTGGCGGCCATGACACTGTAAAAAGCCATAACCCCGCTCCCCGACACCCCCCATCGAGGGGTTCACTCCTCGTTCGGAGCGGCCTCCTCCGGAGAGAAAATGGCGGCCACGTCCAGCAACGTAGAGTTATGCGAGGCTGAGATGATGATGACAGTTTGTAGGAGGACGAGGGCCAGCAGGCATATCTTCAGTCGCCCGCTGCACAGTCTCGGGCTGGCGGCGGAAGTGACCGAAGCCCCCTCGGGTTGGCAGGAAGAAGCAGTCCTTTGAAGCGTGCTGCCTGAAGGGCTGTCCATTTTGGAGTCCCATCGAACGTCGCAGCACTCCGCCTCGCCGTCTGATGGATGGTCTCCCAGGAGCCCTGGGAAAGAAACAACACGGGATGAAAATGTTGACAGATGACAGCTGTGTTTGGGCTGCAACAAGACTTTTAACACAATCAACAACCTGCTAACAAGCTTTAAGTTAAGAAAATGAACCCAGATGTTGTGTGGGTGCCAAAGCTTTTGGCGATAACTGTATTTTTCAATCCAGTGTATCACAGTGTGGCCTTGTTGCTTTTGAATGGCAATGAATAGTATAAATCAAAAGTTTACATACACCCATCTATAGGTCTACAGTGAATTTTAGAACAAAGAACCAGAAGCAAAGGCTGGAATTTTAGTTTTCAAATATTAAACCGACTGAATTTTACATGCAGGATCAAAAATAAACACACACCCCACTTAAATTTAACCCTAAAAAGTTGACCACTCTTCTTGACAGAAGAAAGAAACTTCATTCAAGTTTGACACAGATTTGAAGCATAGATGTGTCTGGTTTTAAAATAAGCAGGTAAAATTTTTATTTTTCAAAGTAAACATATTTTTAAATAAACCATGTAATCCATAAAACTTCACTTTTTAACTTATTTCTTTGGTTTTCTTTTTATGTATGGTTGCTTCAGGGTAAACATTTATAAATATATATTTAGTATGAATATTGTGATGTATTCAATACTTAATTTACCCGCTGTAAATCTATGGAATCGAATGATTTTAAAACATCTAATTATATATGTAAATAGTTGAGCCAGTATGCATCATTTAGAGTAGAGAAAATTCACAACCAATTAAAAATTGTCCAAGTTGTTGCTTTCTAAATATCATTTGAGACATGTTCACGCTGAAACGGCACTGAAAGTAAAGGAAAACTTCCCTTGTCTTCCCTCAGACAGGAAGTGACACCGACTACAGGCGACATTTGCTCCTCTGTGGTTTAGTTAGAAATGAATAAACTGTAGTAAATACGGAGAGACAAGCCAAATTTAATTTATCCGTACAATTTTCAAAATGTCCTTGGATGCTCGCTGCAGTCCTCAATTCAGCCACTAGATGTCATCAGATAACCTTCAGAAATGCGACTTCCAGCAGGGATGCCGAGGAGTCAATAAGTGGATGAATTCATTCACTGAATCATTTCATAAAATGATGTTTACTAAAAAAACGAGCCATAGGAAGTCAAGGCCAGGGTTCACACATGCATATTAACCTGTGCAGATGAAGCTGGGGTTTCCGCCATGGATCAGGTCGTCGTTGTCGGGCAGGATGAACGGGCAGCTCTGCTGGACCTCCAGGCAGTACCGATGGCACGGTATCTTCCTCTGACAAGACTGCTTGATGTTGGGGAAGTACTGAGTACAGAGCCAGGGCTTATAGGCCATCTGAGGAGGAGGAGGAGGAGAGAGAGGGAGGAAAATGACATAAATAGATGCAGGTTCATGATCCCCTTGAGAACTGGAGGAAGTTTTCTGCCTCTGCTGGGTCTTAGGCCTGCTTGTGTTAATATCACATCCAAACAGGAGCCAAATGACTTTTGTTTTTTCATAATAAGCAGTAATTACCTGCTTGTTTAAACCACTTACCATCTAATAGGAATGTTTTGACAAGCAAAATGGAAACCCAGCATTTAATGCAGTGAAAGCTGAGGAGATAATAGCCAGGCTAACCAGCTGCTTGTAATCTACTGCAGGCGTTCTGCTCGATTCGGTGTGTGTCACCACGGTTTAAAGCCAAAATGGGTTTTCTCCTTCCAGGAAGAGCTTCCTCTGGTTTCGTTTGAGCCAGGAAGTCAAATTAGGTGGACAAATTTATCAGATAAGCAGACAGATGGTGGCGTGATGCAGCCAAAACTGGGTCGGGAATTCTTCTTAGTTTTAGCCGTTATCATATTATAGTTATTCAGCAGCGGTATACTTAATACCTAAATATTTACATCCGTAAAGATTTCCAATGTCTTTGCTGCACCTAAATGTTTCAGCTCAGCAAGTAAGACTTTTATATCAGACAAAGAAAACCTGCGATTAACCAATTAAGTTGAGTCAAATTGTATTAAAAAAAAAAACATTTGAAAACCACCAACTTACTGCTTATAAATATTATTAGATACATCCTTTATAAAGCATTAGAGGTCTGTTAATCCATGTGTTCAATCATCTGATAAACAGCAGGAAAACTTTGTTTTAAATGAAAGTAATTGTTTCTTTTAAAGTTTTGTATAAACTGTAACAGTGGATCTGAAGTATCCAACTAGTTCATGCCAGCAGCAGACATTTGAAAAAAAAAGGAAAACAAGGTGTGTAAGTCCGTCGTGCTGAAGGTTTTCCCCAGAAAACATGTTTATCCTGCTGTTTGAATGGTAGGGCAGTCATTCATCCAGCGGTTTGTTGTGTTTTTGAGTTAGAAATGTTTAAAATTAACAAGAAATTTCAAAATAATTTTATGTGATAGATCAACACAGAGTTGTGATTCAAACTTTCACCTGTTAGAAAAAAATACAGACCATAAAAGATTAAGCAGTCCTGTCAAGACAAAGATTAATGCATTAAAGGCATTTTTTATTTACATTTTATGGCCTTAATTACACAAATTCAAAACTTTGAGGATGTGTAGACACCATGACATTGGAGGAATATAAAGTAAGAAATTAATGACAGAAGAAATGCAAAAAAGGTAGAGCTTTGAGACAAAGAGGGAAACAAGGAAGGAACCGATGCCAGAAATGAGGAAAAGAAATAGGGTGAAAGACAGTGTGCACTTGTACAGCGCTTTATCAAATCCAAATTCACCCATTCACACCACATTCATGCAGTGGCAGCTACTACAGAGTAGCCAAAGCTGCCCTGGGGAAGTCTGACATGCACCACCGGAAAGAAAGTTAGAAAATAAATGTTCTCAACATTTGGCAAATAGAAATAATTTTGGAAATACTAACTAACTTGAAAAAGAGAAGTTTGGTCTGATTAAACTTCAAACAATGAGAAAATAAATGCATATATTTTAATTTAGACTCAAATGTAAGTTGAAAACTTAAGAATGAGGCTGTCTTTACTGTATTTTAATGGGAATTGATGTAAAGTTTGCTGTTTTAATGTGACAAAATAAAAAAAGCACGAAGCTTTACTGCTGTGAACGTCTCAGCGGAGAACATGTCGCCAACGTTGCTAATCATCGAAGCACAGAGGAGCATCGGAGATGTGAAAGGCGGGACAGTTCACTGTCAGGTTCATCACGGTTCGGATGTTTGGTTGAATCACAGCGAGGTAAATCTTCATCCCTTCCCCATGCGGGGACTCGGATCTGCTTCCTGTTTACGCCAGCAAACAAAGATAACAAACCCTGCACAGACAATTATAATAATTAGAGTAATCTGATTATGGCGACAGTTATGAGAACGATAATGGAAGAGCAGTGTGCTTTGTGTAATCAAATATATTGCCAACATGCAGGACGTCGTGTTTACACTTCATGTGTGCTTTTATGGAGGAAATGTCTGGGCGCTTCAAAGCAAAACAGGAAAAAAAGGTCAACTCTGTGTGCTTTTGCTGCCTTGGTGAAAAAAACGTGTTCTGTCCATTCAGACTATAGCATTTACACCTTTTGCTGTGTTAGAGGGGGGCTTTTGTGGATGATTCATGCAGCCAGATTAATTCCCATGATCCTCTGCGTTTGGCAGCTGTGTTCTTGTCGTAGAAGAGCTCAACAGCTGAACAGCGTGGAGGGGAAGCCGGCTGAAAATCACTAAAAAGATCAACCGGTCTGAGATGTTCAAGGTGCGAATTTTAAAAGAAAGTGGGCGGAACTTCCTGTTTCCCCCCAATTAAAGAAATGCTGCTTAATCTAAGATGATGTTGCATAAATTCACCCAGCGGTGAGACAATCCACGCAGGGATGCCGCAGCTTTCAAAAGAGAACCAAAACAATACGGTCGCTGCGAGACAGGAAATCTGGGTCCTCCTGAAGATGTATGCAGGCAGTTGCCAAGGTAACGGCTTTTTCTGCTTTTCATTAAAGCTCAATGGGTGCTGCCCCGCTCGCTGCCAGCTTTTGCTGTCTGTGTGCGTGCACATTTAAAAAAAAAAGAAGAAGAAGTGCATCCAGGTCTGCAGCTCGTGTGCGTGTGTGTGGATGTGCTCTTGCACAGCGTGAAAAGGGAAGCGTACAGGAGCAAATTGAGTTAGTCAGGAAGCAGGCCTAGAGTCTGATTTGATCAGTCTAATGTGTGATCAGTGTGAATGGGAACCTGGCACTCAGAGTCTCTGTCACCATGCAGCTCAGGCTGCTTCAAACAATGCACCGAAGCCCAGAGGCGCAGATGGAGCAGCGCACTACGCTGGTCAGCGCTCAGCTGATTCCAGACCCAACATGCTCATTACTATGTCTGCCTTCCAACTGGTGGTAAAAGCATCTTTAAGATGTGGTATCCAACATTTCTCTACAGTGATTTCCATTATATAAGAAGTACACAGCAGATCCACATGATCTGCAGCCACAATATATTCCTCTACAAACCCTACAGCACATACAGCTCCATTAAAAACCACCAAATATTCATGTCTGAGTTAAAACATTAATAGTGTTGTTTCTACATTAAAATAAACTTATTTCAAGTCTGAAAGCACTGCATCTTTTCCTAATTTTGACCATTTCTCATTTTCTGCAAATAAATACTACATTTTTGCTTGGGGTTTCTGTGACATGCTGCCAATAGTTAAGAGAATAAAACAACAATGTTCATGTAACTCAAACATATATCTATAAAAAGTAAAACCAGGAAACTTATCATTTTAAATGTCTGTCAAAAAAAAAAATTCTGGATGATAAATGATGATATTGTTGTTTTGAGACTATTTTAAGCGATAATAGCATAATAGTGCATGTTTGGTCTCTCAAAGATTAAACTTTGATTTCATAAAACTCACTTAACACTGAAACAGAAATAAAAACTACTTAGAACTGAAACCATAATAAAATGGATTATGAACTCTCTCTAAATAAAATAGCCTTTTGAAAGATATTTTAAGATAATTTAAATTTACTACTGAAGTAATTGATTAATTGTGCATGTCTTTACCAGTGTTACACTTGTGGATAATTTCTACACATCCAGTTTTATGTTATCCTGATAAACGTTTGACCTCCACCAATTGATGGCTTGAAAAGGTTAAAAAGTTCATTTCCTCATCAATGTAAGCAGCAAACAGAACATTCTTATACTCCACCTGCATCCACAAGCTTTAATTATAGCAGAAAACTTGCAAAAGAGGTGACAAAGTTAATAAAGCGCCTGCATTTATTAGTTCAATGGGGTACACCTCGCAAATCAAGCGCCAAGTGAGCCATGCATGTTGGCTTTAGCTCCGACACGTTGTAAAAACTTTCACTGAACCTGCTGTGAAGTATCAACACTCGGTTTCGTTCCCAGCAGGATGGTCTCTACGCACACGTAAACACACACACACACTCACGCGGCGGCTATAAAGCGGAATGACAAGAGACGGCGGCAGCTATAAAAAGCATGTGAGTCAGCTGCAGAGTGAGATCCCAGTTAGAAGCTGAATGACACAGATCATTACCACTCGCACAAATCACAGCTCTGGTTGAGCAGGAAGCGGCTCTTGCACTACCTGGGCTATTTTCAGCTGCGTTTCTTTGTGTGATGATAGGGCCTGTCGTTTTATTTATTTATCTTTTCCCCAGCTCCGTAATGTACAGAGTGAGGCAGATTCCTGACATGGAAAAGCCTCACAGTGGGGACACAAAATCCACTTGATCATGAATTTTCTCACACAGCTGGTTGTTCCATATAAACTAATAAAACAATAATAACTATCAGTCCCTTTGGGATTTTGGGACAAGAATCAATCAGAATCACTGATTTTGAGGGGCGAAGTCAGAAAAACCTTCAAGGAATTTTGAGATATTAGGGTTAAGGTAAGGTCGGCTAAAGTTAATGGGAAATCACCTTATTTGTTTAACTTTAAATATTGTTAGTTGATTATTAACATTTGTAAATGTGATGTTTTATTGAACAAAATTACTTGCCTCACCCTGAGGCAGCAGTGCAGTAGAAGTGAGACATACTGCCACCTGCAGAAGGGAGTTAGCATCACTTAAACCAGTGCTTCTCAAATAGTGGGGCGGGCCCCCTTTGGGGGGCACGGTGAGATACCTGGGGGGGCGTGTGAACCTGGGGAACAGGCTTTTTTTTGGCCGTACTAGTATAAAGTGTAATTGCGCACAGTAGGCAGCAGTGGCGCTGTCATTGTTACTTCTGTCACGTTTGCGACAGTGCAACATTTTACGACTTACAAGACAACAGGTTTGCCTTGGTTAGCAGTGTTAAGTCAACAAAAAGCTCCGACTGCGTTCTGTCTCTGGCCTC